TGAACTGGACAGTGTGGATGGTCAGGGCTGGTTGGGTCCTTGGAGGTCTTTGGTGCAGCCTGGCCATTGTACAGAGAGGAAGCCAAGGCCACAGCTGGCTGGTGACAGGGGTTGGGGATGTGGGTTCTGGAGCCCAGTCCACGTGCTTTCTCCAGGCAAACTGGGAGCAAAGTCTGGCGGGGGCCACGGGCAAGGGGAGACCCCTTGGCGGGGGCCTCATAGCTCCCTTACAGTACTGGCAGGAGGTGCTGACTAACAGCTGATGGTTGCTGTCAAAGGCCAGGGGTTCTGTGTTTTGGCACGGGCACGCCTGAGAAGAGGGGAGGGGGCAGGCAGCTGTCCACGCTGCGGAAGTTTTCATGGGGAGAAAAGTGGCTGACTGTGGGGGCAGGTGGGATCCGCTGGCTCAAGTTCAAGTACACAGAGTTTCCTTGTGTCTCTGCTTCCTGTTTCCTCCCACGCTCCTCCGAAGGTGACTCCCCCATGGCTCTTGTCTCTAAGGGACTTTGCAGAAACGAACCGCTCTGGCCTACTCTCCTTTCCACTGCCTGCTCACATCAGCACAGAGGATTTCTTTTTCTTTTTTCTTATTTATTTAGTTGACAGGTAGAGATATAGAAAGTGAGAGAGAGAGACAGAGAGAAAGGTCTTCCTTCCGTTGGTTCACCCCTCAAATGACCGCCACGGCTGGAACTGTGCCGATCCGAAGCCAGGAACCAGATGTCTCCTCTTGGTCTCCCATGCGGGTGCAGGGGCCCAAGCACTCGGGCCATCCTCCGCTGCCTGCACTGGAAGAGGAGCAACCGGGACTAGAACCAGTGCCCATAAGGGATGCTGGTGCTGCAGGTGGAGGATCAACCAAGTGAGCCACGGCGCCAGCCCAGCACAGAGGATTTCATTGCCTTTCCAACTAGTGAGAGCGCAGAGCCCAGGAAGAGCCAGCTCCTTTGGATCTGATGTCCCAGTTAGTGAAGGCAAAGCTTTGTGACTTCTTCTTTTTTAAGATTTATTCTGTTTGAAAGGCAGAGTTGGGGCCAGCACTGTGGCGTAGCAGGTAAAGCCACCACCTGCAGTGCCAGCATCCCATATGGGTGCCAGTTCAAGACCTGGCTGCTCTACTTCTGAACCAGCTCTCTGCTATGGCCTGAGAAAGCAGTGGAAGATGGTCCAAGTCCTTGGGCCCCTGCGCTCACATGGGAGACCCAGAAAAAGCTCCTGGCTTTGGATTGGCACAGCTCCAGCCGTTGTGGCCATCTGGAGAGTGAACCAGTGGATGGATGGAAGACTTCTTTGCCTCTGCCTCTCTGTAACTCTGCCTTTCAAATAAAATTAAAAAAAAAAAAAACCTTAAAAAAAAGAAAAGAAAAGAAAGGCAGAGTTACAGAGAGGGAGAGAAAGAAGTCTTCCATCTGCTGGTTCACTCCCCAGTTGGCTGCAATGGCTGGAGCTGCACTGATCCGTAGCCAGGAGCCAGGAGCTTCTTCTGGGTCTCCCATGCGGGTGCAGGGGCCCAGGCACTTGGGCCATCTTCTACTGCTTTCCCAGGCTACAGCAAAGAGCTGGATCAGAAGTGGAGCGGCCGGCACTTGAACTGGCGCTCATATGGGATGCCAGTACTGCAGGCGGCAGCTTTACCCACTACACCACAGTGCCAGCTCCTTCATAATTTCATAAGTCTGGCTGGGCTGATTCCTACAGGACCAGGCCTCAGCAGCCCCTTGTATGCCTGGAGAAGCACTGATGGCTGCAGGCTCTGGGAGGGGTAACTCTCACCTCGCCGTGCTGCTCTTCAGCTGGTGAGTGTGGGGTCCCAGGTGGTTTGCTCATGTGGCTTCATTTACTCTTCTAGAACCTGGAGTGCAGATGCTGTGGTTGGGGTGGTGTCACGGGCAAGGGAGCTGGGGCTCTGAGATGTTAGGAGACATGCTGGGAAGGCAGGGGCAGCCATCAGATCTTCTAGTGGGTCGGCCTTCAAGGCCTCTGCCCCTGCCACTAGGAGGCTGGAGTGGAGGAGGTGCGGGAGCAGTGGGGTTGGGGAGTCAGGCTGCGAGACAGACGCAGGTCCCGTTGAGGGTGGAGGAGGGGGCAGCCTCTTGGGTCTCTGGCAGGGCCTCTGGTCTAGAGGGGGCATTTGAGACTAGGGGTGTTTCTCAAGTAAGCAGTAGAAAGAAGACTTCTCCAACAGAGGGAGGTTACTGGGGGCCCAGGGACAGGGCGGGAACAGGGCCCACTGGCCTGGGCAGGGCCCAGACCCCGGCCTGGGTGCTGGAGCCCTGAGTTTTCATCCCAGCTCTGTCCCTAGACATTTCCCTTAAGACATTTCCTCTGTGAGCCCTATTTCTTTGCTCTTTGCCACGAGACCACCTGACTTCTGGGGCTCTTCCCAGCTAAGAGCCTATGGTTTCAGCCTTGGGTGTTCTGATGAGGGAGGCAGGAGAAGACGTGAGAGGGGGCTGTCCGCCCTCTGTCCTCGGAATACAACCAGGCCCAGGAGCTGCAAAACAGGCAGCCCTCCCCAGGTGCATGAGGCCCTTCTCTTGGGGGATGGAGCCTCCTGTTGGGAGGGTCTCTGTCTACTTCTTGACTCCCCCAAGAGTACAAGGCAACCTCTGATCGTGGAGGCTCTCCTGGGCCAATTAAAAAGCCTGTTACAGGGGTTGGCATCGTGGTGCAGTGGGTTCAGCTGCCTTCCATGGTGCTGGCATCCCACGTCCAAGAACCAGTTCAAGCCCTGGCTGCTCCACTTCTGACCCAGCTCCCTGCTAATGCACCTGGGAAAGCAGCAGGAGATGGCCCAAGTGCTTGGGCCTCTGCACCCATGTGGGAGACCCAGATGGAGTTTCTGGCTCCTGGCTTCAGATTGGCACAGCTCCCCTCGTTGTGGCCATTTGTGGAGTGAACCAGCGGATGAAAGACCTCTGTTTCCTCTCTGTCTCTCTCTCTAACTCTGCCTTTCAAATAAATAACTCAATCTTTAAATAAAAGCCTGTCATAAAGTTTATAAAGAAACAACAGTCAGTGAAAAGCTCTATAATGAAGATTAAAATTGATCGTGATTCTAGAAGAGGCCAAATCAGAGTGCAGGGAGTTGCTAGCTGTGTTTTTGGGAGCTGGGAAACAAAGCAGTGTCCTCTAGAAGTTACTTTTTCACTAGGAACAAGTTACACTATGTTTGTCTTGTTTTTTTGTTTTTTTGATAAGATTCTAGAGCAAATTCAAAGGAATGCCTTAGATGTAGCCAATCTGGAGTTCCACAGGGATCTAGGAAAAACCTCTCTTGTTATCTTTACAAAAAAGGAGGCTGGGGAGCTGGCGTTTAACCTGACAATTAAGACACACACACGTCCATGTTAGTTGCCTGGGTTTCATTCCTAGCTCCAGCTCCTGACTCCAGCTTCCTGCTAGTGGACACCTGGCAGGCAGATGACGGCTCAAGTAGTGGGCCCCTGCCCCCACGTGAGAGATCTGGGTGGAGCTCCTGCTCCTGGCTTTGGCCTGGTCCAGCCCTGACTGTTTTGAGTATTTGGGGAGTGAACCACATATGGGTGCTCTTAATTTCTGTCTCTGCCTCTCTCTTTGCTTCTCAACAACAACTTTATATATATTAAACAATAGAAAATGGGGCCGGATGACAGCATAGTTACATGGATTTTGAGCTGGTTGATGGACTGCCCCGAGAGTGATGAAGAATAAGTCTCCGTCATGCACGACAGGGTCACAGTGTCCTTGTCAGGGTTGACCCGTCCAGTGAGGATGTGGATGATGACCGTGGAAGCCTTCCACGCTGTTCATGGTCCAAATCTCAGAGAAACAGCTAGCAATCAAGACTCAAAAATAGCTCGACCCCCAAGTCAATGATATTCAACAGGATATCGAAAGAGTCCAGTATTCAAAGGATGAGCGTCTCTAAGTATGGGATGGGGTGACTGTGGCTGGACAGAGTGGTGTGGGAGTCAGGGTCTCTGCTGAGTGTACCCAGTTATCTGAAAGCACGTCTAGGACCCCGTGTACATGGGCGGCTCCCACCCTCGGGAGGCCTGTGTGCTGAGTGTCGGGCTTGCTTGATCTGGAGACTGTGTGGATCTCCGTGACCAGTGGTCAGGCTTCCTCCTCAGGCTTGGTCATCACCAAGCAAGGCTTTACCAGTGGCAAGCCGGAGACTTGACCCTTTCTGTCCTGAGCACCAGCAAGTGCTGGGTATCTGTCCGTTTGTCTCTGGCCAGAGCCACGCCCTCTGTCTTGGAAAAAAGTGCAGATCTAAGCAGATTTCCTTTGAGATGTTGAACATAACTCCAGTGTCAGCCCATTTCCTTTCCCAGGGTTCACTTTCACTGCTCCCACAGTGCCCTCTGGGAAGGCAGACGGCCTCCTTTTGCTGGGTGGCTGAGCCGTCGCCTTGTGGATATTTGGCATCCACCCATACGTGCCTGGGTCAGCACACTGTGCAGAAAACTGCGCGGGACCCCAAGGCTTTCCATTCCCTACCCACCCAGTGCCTGCCCCAGGAGCTCTGCCATAGGATCCGCTCGCTGTCTCCCCACCAGCCTGCTTCCTTCCTCAATCCACGACTGGCTGCTGCCCTTGGCTCTGCCATCCCCAGACCCTGAAATGAGCCAAGAGAGTGAGCCCTGCTGGAGCCTGGTCAGCCAGAGTGCAGAGCACAGACGCCCAGCTGCAGTCCTGGAGAACCTAAGAGGAGCACGTGCTCTGACTGCCTGGGAGGCGCACTCTGCGTCCTCAGTCCCCCTGTCTTCTCTGGGGACAGAGAGGAGGAATGTGACAGTATGCATTGCGGGAAGCACCCGGAGGGCATGTCAGTGCATCCAGGTGGAAGGAGCTGGGGGAATAGAGAGAAGCTGTGGGAAATAGGAGGGGGGCTTTATGACTGGGTTGAGGCCCCTGCTACTCTGTGGAGCAAAGAGATTAGAAGGCAGAGTGACCTCTGTCCCCGCCTGTCTGACTGCTGTGCCTGACGCCCTGTGCTCTGTTCTCCTGCCCAGATCACCATGAGGACCTAGGGCGTCTGCCTGCTGACCCCCCGCCCCCCTGCCGGCCTGCGGTGACCATGGCACCCCGCAAGAGGAGCCGCCATGGCCTGGGTTTCCTGTGCTGCTTCGGGGGCAGTGACCTCCCCGAAATCAACATCCGGGACAACCACCCTCTGCAGTACCTGGAGTTCTCCGGCCCCATCCCGAACCCCGAGGAGCTTAACGTCCGCTTCGCAGAGCTGGTGGTCAGTGCGAGGGGGCAGGGAAGGGAGGGTGAATGAACAGCGGGCGGGAGCCCGTGTTCTGGGGTCTCCTGCTCTTAAGACCCCTCTTGGACCTGAGGGGGGGTCCCCAGGACACCTTCGCTGCGTGGGGGAAACAGGTGTCTCACTGGGGTGGACACCGGGAGCTGTGTTCCCAGAAGGATGGACTCCTACTTCCGTTGGATTCGAGGCTGTGTGGTGCAGTGGTTAGACTCTCATAGAAAGAGGTGGATCTGGGCTTTTGTGAAATAAGATGCTGAGGAGCCTCAAGAGCGTCGGAACACTTAGGAGCCATCTCTCTCTGTCCTCTGGGGTTTTCCTGGGATCCTCTCATCTCAGAGGGAGGAAGAAGGGCCGAGTGGAAGTCCACAGGCAGCCATTGCACCTGCAATGGAGGACGGCTGGCTGGAAATACAGAGGTAGAAACGCCCACTGCATTCTTGGGATCTGAGTCAGGTCTGGGATGATTGGACCCCACGCTTAGCCAGGGGTAGCCTGAGGGTCTGCCATGCATGCTAGCACCAGCCCGTCCTGCTTCCTGGTGACGTCCATCGGGCCAGTGCATCCGCCTGCTTGGTAAGAAGTCCCTGGGTGTGAAACCTGATACCCTGACCCCATGGAGACAACAGGAAGGAAGCATGAGTCCTCTCCTTGGAGGTCTGGTGGTGAGACAAGGACTGCACACTGAGGGAAGTCCCAGCTCCGGGATGGTGCACTGAACCCTGGCATGGAGCTGCAGCTAGCGCTCATCGGCCATCTGCTCTTGGTCACTCACCCCTGTGGTGGGACCCGTCGTCATGGCAATGGAGAAATGGTGCCATGAGGTTTGGGACGTGGTTTTGCCATTAGCTTCCAGTTAAGGTGATCCAGCCTCTGCAGATGACAAGCCCACGGCAAGATGAGACCACGGGTGGTGTGAAGAAGCCATCCAGCTTCCTTGTCACACTGGCTTGAGGAGAGCTCATCGTTTCCCAACTTACACCTTTCCTCAGGGTGGGGCCGGGGAGCAGTGGCTGTAAGTGCAGAATAGCACGTGGCGCCTGGCTGGTGTTAGCTGGGGCTGTTTCCTTGAGTGCACTGGGATTTGGAAGAAGGAGGTGAAGAGAGGTGGTTCTTTATTCAACTCACTTATTCAACAAATGTTTACCGAACATCTTTAGCAAGCAGGATCCTTGCAGGGCTCTTTCACAAAAGGGAGGATGTCAGATAAATCTTGTCTGCCAAGGGTAGTGTCAGGTGTCGGTCAAACAGATCAAAGCTCTTGGAGAGCCTGCTGTGTGCTGGCCCTGTGGGGGACTTCGATGACCCTCGGGCAGGCCCCTGCCCCCAGAACTTGGGGTCTAATGGGGAAGACTGATCTCACAAGGCAATGGCAGTGTGGTGAGCATTAGATAGAGGACATCCCAGGCCTGTGGGAGCATATCGGCAGGATCCACCTGCTAGCAGGGTGTGGGCAGCAATGTTTCCACTGAGATCCACAAGCAGTGTGAGGTCAGGTGAGTGAGTGGGGGTGCAGGACCCTGCGAGAGGAGGGTTCCCCAGGGAAGGAACAGCACAGGTGGCGGTCACGAGTCAGAAAAAACTGTGTCCTTTAGGGGGACACAATGAAGACTAGAATGACTAAGGACTTGGGGTTCGATCCAAGAGGCAGTAGGACGCCTCTGAAGATTTCTACCAGGGGCTGGAGCGACACAATCTGCTCTTCTACTAAAGGACTGTGCTCGGACGCTCTATGGAAGAAATGGTCTAGGTTCATCTGCAGGAGGAGAGCGAAGGAATCCAAGGCAGGGAAAGCAGGGGCTTGGACTAAAGTACGAGCAGTGGGGATGGAGCGGAGTGCGCAGATCCAAGAGCTGGTTAGGAGCAAAGGGCATGGATTGGGAGCATAGATGAAGGGGTAGAAACCAAGGAACACTCAAGTTCATGGCACGAGGAGATGGGTAGGATTTTTTTTTTATTAGACAGGCAGAGTTAGACACCGAGAGAGACAGAGAGAAAGGTCTTCCTTCAGTTGGTTCACTCCCCAAATGGCCACCATGGCCAGCGCGCTGCGCCGATCCGAAGCCAGGAGCCAGGTGCTTCCTCCTGGTCTCCCATGCAGGTGCAGGGGCCTAAGCACTTGGGCCATCCTCCACTGCCTTCCTGGGCCACAGCAGAGAGCTGGACTGGAAGAGGAGCACCCAGGACTAGAACTCGGCGCCCATATGGGATGCCAGCACCACAGGTGGAGGATTAACCAAGTGAGCCTCGGTGCCAGCCCCAAGAGATGGGTAGATTTTGAGGTCTGTGCAGGATGGGACAGAGTGGAGGTGGCTGGCATCATGCAGTCACTTTGCGTATCCTCTCTACTTGCTGCCTCCCTCATCTGCAAAGTGGCGGTTGTCAGCTTTAAATAAGTGAATAACCCTAGGCACGTTGCCCACTGCCTGGCACACAGGAACAGCAAAGACGAGCCTCAGGGGCCTGGAGGAGAGCCAGCCAGGGCGGTGCGGGAGGCAGCTGGGCCCTGAGGCCTGGAGCTCGGGGAACGGGCGGGTACAAACTGGAGAGTGTCTGGGATCATAACTGGGTTCCCAGAAATGGCTGAGGAGGCTTTACCTAGGGTGAGGCGTAGAGGAAGGAGGACGGGGGGTGATGCCTGGAGAGCCCTCAGTGTTTCAAGGTAGCAGCAGAGAAGGCAGCACAGGGGCCCACGATGGAACCAGGGGGATCAAGAGGGACTGCCCCTGAGTGTGGCTGCTGCAGAAACCAAGGAGAGAACAGCTAAGGAAGAAGCAGCATCCGCAGGGCCCTGTGCAGAAGTGGAGATCTCTGTCCAGAAAAGACAGAGGAGGTGATGGGAGTTCTGTGAGGTTCACCGAGGCAGAGACTGCTCTTGCTGGCAAGGTTGATGGAAGACTGGCTGGAGGACGCTGACTTTGAGCATGGGAGCTGGCCCGAGGACCTTGGCCCGAGTGGTGGGGAGGGCAAGCAGTCCACAGAGAAACAAGTGTGGAAGCAAAAGCACGGAGGTTGTGGAGAGGCAGACTTTGTACTGGGAGATGTAAGGTGCACAAAACTCAATTTTTTTTTCCCGATTCTGACAATAGAAAGGAAACCTTAAACAGGGTTCTGGGAATTTTGACCAAGGTTTTTCTGGGCTGTGTAGAGTTCCAGGGAAGCAGCCTTGTTTGGAATTAAATCTCCAGGAGTCTTTAGGTTGCTAGGGATGGTAAACTGATGGGTTTAATTCATATAGTCCTTGTATGTGCTGTCCAAATGGCAGCCACTGGCCTCACTGAGCTACTGGCTGATCTGAACCGAGACAAGCTAGAAGCGTAACGAACAGATCATGTTTTGAAGACTTGGTTTGAAACAGAGAATTAAAACTGCTCATTGATCATTTCTATATTGATTACATATTGAAGTGATCATAGTTTAGATGTATTCATTTGAATAAAATGTATTAAAATTAGCTTCACCTATTTCTGCTTTCCCGCCACTAGGCATGTTTTATATGTATGTGGCTCACATTATTTTTTTAAAGATTTATTTATTTATTTGAAAGAGCTACACTGAGAAGGAGAGGCAGAGAGAGAGGTCTTCCATTCACTGGTTCACTTTCCAGTTGTCCGCAATGGCCAGAGCTGGGCTGATCCAAAGCCAGAAGCCACGACCTTTTTCCTGGTCTCCCATGCAGGTGCCATCTTCTACTGCTTTCCCAGGCCATAGCAGAGAGCTGGGTCAGAAGTGGAGCAGCTGGGACTCGAACCGGCGCCCATATGGGATGCCGGCACTGCAGGCGGCAGCTTTACGTGCTATGCCGCAGTGCCGGCCCCTCACATTATATTTGTACTGCCCTGTTCTGATCTACATGGAGTGAAGTCTTAAATGCTCTCCACTGAATACAAGTAAAGGGAAAGAGTGTAAGTGCCATGATTTCAATGCGTATTGTGTCTGGAAACACAAAGGTTAACGGTATGCTTTGCAGTCCTAATGGGAGTTTTGATTTTGCTTTTACAAAAAGAGTATAATAGCTGAATGAAACAGCCTCAGTTCCCAGTGTCGCAGTGTTCCCTGGCCTATGGACCATTGCTTTGCTGAGCCCTGTCCTTGCCTTTGAACTGCAGAAGAAACTTTGAGATGAGAGTTTCATAGGGACCGTCTAACACAGCTAGATCCATTGCTGCATTGCTGACAAAGCAATGCAGGAGTCTGACAAGGGCAGAAAAGCCCTATCCTATGCAGGGTCTTCAAAATCTCGTGGAAAACGCGTGTTATGGAAAAACTAGGTATGGTTCTCAATCCAATTTGCACCGAAATAAACTCTTTTCATTCCATTTTCTCTAGCAGCCTTTTGAAGCCCCCTCCTCTCTGGGGCGTTCCCTGGGCCGGAAGCAGTAGGCTGAGGGATGGGTTTGAGGGAACAGTAGCCTCCTGTGGCTCTGAGTGGTGTAATCTCAGCCATCCTGGGCTCCAGACATGTCTTTTCTCCTCTTTGCAGGATGAATTGGATCTCACGGACAAGAACCGGGAAGCTGTGTTTGCGCTGCCCCCTGAGAAGAAATGGCAGATCTACTGCAGCAAGAAGAAGGTGCCGTCCTGCCCCCTCCTGCTGCGTCTCGGGGCGGCTCTCGCTGCCTCGCTGTGCAGTCATTCACCAGCTGTGTCGTAGGAGCCAGCAGTGTTGTAGGAGCCACCGGAACAGCAGAGGCTGACGCATTAGAGCTTATACCCCGGGGAGAAGGACTCCTTTTCACAGTTCCATTAGGCAGGCACCTGCTGGCACCCAGGAATGGGGTGGAGTCAGGTGCCAAGATGCAAAGTGTAGATGCCTTTTTTGTGCCAGCTTTGGCCTAGGGGGTACAGCTCAAGGCCTTCCCGGGGAGGGCTTGGCTCTCGGGATGCAATTTACAGGGGTGAGCCTGGGGAGTCCTCCTCCAGGTCTTCAGCCTTTGCCCCGGCCGGGGCTAAAGGTCACACATCAGCCCCGTTCGCCCCACGGTTTCTTTGCTGTGCACCTGTTCATCAGGAGCTACTGTTAATCTTCTGATCGGGGCTCTCCCTAGAAGGTGGTGCTCTGGGCTACAGCCAGGGCTTACGTGGATGGGAGCCACTCTCTTCTCGTTCCCCGGAGCTGCCCTCCCCCAGCCCCGTCTTGCTCATCTCTTTCTCCCTGCATCTCTCTCTTGCCCCCTCTGTATGGGCTTTTCTGGCTATTTTTATGCTCTTCATGGCCCACCCCTCCTCTTCCCTCACAATTCTAGGCTTGGGTTGTAGCTTGTTCCTTCCTCTTTGTAGTGTGGGTATCTGGCGGGGGAGGGGGGTGTGTGTGGATGAGGGCCTGGAAGGCACCGTCACTCCAGTGTGCTCCTGGGAGCATTCTGTGTGGTGCCTGCTCCCCCATCCCCAGGCCTCATCACAATTCTTCTCACTTCCTTGCAGGATATTTGTCCCATTGCTGGCTCTGCTCTGAGCCACACGGACCTTATCAAACTGGAGGACTGGAATCCTCCTGCTGTTCAGAGAGGAAGGAACCCAAGAAAGAACTCAGTAGAGTTATTTGTTCCATGGATGAGGCAAGGAAGGCGCAGGGAGACTGTGGACTTGGCCAGGCCCCTGGGAAGTTAAGGTCAGGGGCCCACAGGGCTGCTAGACCTCAGGATGGCTGGGGGCAAAGTGCCGGGATCTGGGCCGGGGCTGGCGCTGTGGCTCACTTGGTTAATCCTCTGCCTGCGGCGCCTGCATCCCATATGGACGCCGGGTTCTAGTCCCGGTTGCTCTTCTTCCAGTCCAGCTCTCTGCTGTGGCCTGGGAAGGCAATGGAGGATGGCCCAAATGCTTGGGCCCTGCACCCGCATGGGAGACCAGGAGGAAGCACCTGGCTCCTGGCTTCAGATCGGTGCAGTGCGCCAGCCGTGGTGGCCATTTGGGGGATGAACCAACTGAAGGAAGACCTTTCTCTCTGTCTCTCTCGGTGTCTAACTCTGCCTGTCAAAAAAAAAGAAAAAGAAAAGAAAAGTGCCAGGGTCTCAGAACCTGTGGATGCCTGGTCCACACACACTGCGGGCCACTGTTGTATACTCGATGCACACTTATTAAGCACTTAGAATACCATGCTCTGCGAATCTGACTGTGAGAAAAGCAAGCCTTACAAAAGCTTAATTCAAAGGAGGAGGAAAGAAGAAAGGAGGAAAGGAGAAAATATATTTTAGGAGTCATTAAACACATCTCGTGATTTTCTACACACTGCATTGGTTTACTATGGAGTTTCCATACGTTGATCAATACAAAATGTATTAAAATATATGGGCATCTCTTACCATCTTCCAAACCACATGCATTGACAGCCCTCTGCTCTCCTCTCTAACACCCCACCCTTCACCTGTCTCAGCTGACCCCAGCCCAATCCCCTAGGGCCCCGCCCCCTTCACACTGCTGCATTAGGGGCCGGCCTCCTCCACCAGGTCCACCATGGACAGTTCCACCGCTTCTCTGGCACTGGCTTGCTGTGTGGAAGGCAGAAGCCCTCATGTTTTCCCTGGTACTTTCAGAGCCGAGTCCAGTGAGTGGTGCTCATTAAACGCCTGTGGCTTGGGCGCAGGGCAGTGTGTGTCTGCTGAAGCTGCTGGTTTTCATGGGGTGACTCCTCCTCCAGGGCAGAGCACTTGGCTCTCAGTCGTGGACTGTGACACGTAGCAGGTGTGAAGTCACAGCACCAAAACAAGGCGGCTTTCCCACTCGTCCCACATTGGGATTTTATAAAAAATGGTGACGCTGGAGTAGGCAGAGCTGAGGGATGCGGGGCTGGCAGGCAGAGGGGCAGGGGGAGGCAAGTTTTCACACTGACTTGGAAGCAAGAGGAGCATCCAGAGTGACCAGGGCGTGGGGCAGGGGTGAGCGGGATGCATGCCCTGTCCTGGGGCAGAGCCACGTGGCGAGAGAGGCTGCTGTTCAAGCACCCTTAGTATTGATTTCCTTTTAGTATTGATCCAATGCCATCACCTCTTACAGGTGTCTGGGGAAGAACTCAGACTGTCTTGGGGAAAGAGGCTCTGTCTCCAGCTGCACACACCCTCACTCAGCAGAGTTGGGAGGGAGTTAAATCAGACCTACCAGGGGCTCCTGTGTCTTTCTAAAGTCCAGGGCCCTGGGAGTTCCTGTCTTTGTAAAGTCACTATTTGTTGAGCATGTGCTATGGGCCAGGCATAGTACCAAATGCATTCTGTCTGCTCAGACTCTGAAAGACGGGGTGCTTAAGTTACCAAATCATCACAAGCCAATCAATCCCTTTGTCAAATACAAGAATATGGTCAGAAAAATAAGAGGTACAAGGTCTAAGCATGCATCAGTCTTGGCTCCAACAATCATAGCGTTGTGCTTTCTTCAAATATGGGCAGAACCAATATGATGGGAGAAAATGGTTCTTAAAGAGCCATACGCATCATTTATCGCGAGCATGTCTGCCTGCACGGTTCTGGACTCATGCCATTTTCTAAGCATGAGGCTCAGGGTTCGTTATCTGCATTTTACGCAGGAAGTAATGGGAGTGTGGGGGATTCTGCAGCTTCCTCCAAGCTCCCCTGTGTGGGCAGGGCTGGGCCCAAATCCCTGTTCTGATATGGAACAGAGCTCAAGACCCCCAGCCGTGGGCCTGCCTTGCCAGCTGGGCCACACTGTCCTCTTCATTCTAGGAGCAGGAGGACCCCAACAAGCTGGCGACCAGCTGGCCGGACTACTACATTGACCGAATCAACTCCATGGCTGCGGTGAGCTGTCTGCTCCTCTTCCACGCTGCCCTTCCCTTGGCAACCTCGCCCTTCCCTTCCACCTGCCCCTGTCCCTCACGCCCCAGTCGCTGGTGCTCAGCAACCTTCCAGTTACCCCCCAGTCCTGTCATAACCCACCCCTCCCCGCAGCCCTTTAAACCATCACAAGCCATGTGAACATCACACAGGCTCTGGCAACAAGCTGGGCCATTCGCCCCCATTTCACAGATGAGGAGGGTGAGGTCCAGGACCAGAACCTGGGTCTCCTCAGAGTCTGTCTTCGTCTAGCATCCCCTGAGGCCTCACCCTCTCCCGAGACAAGGGTGGCCCCTGGGTCCCTTCTGGGCTGAGGGGCCCAGGCACCGGGATGCTGGGCCACCGGTGTGGTGTGACGTCCAACTCCTGCTGCCCATGGCTCCACAGATGCAGAGTCTCTACGCCTTTGATGAGGAGGAGACAGAGATGAGGAACCAGGTGGTGGAGGACCTGAAGACCGCCCTGCGGACGCAGCCCATGAGGTGACGCCTGGGTCCCCGCCCTCCCATCCTTCCATGCCCATCCCCAGTCAGGCCCCTGTGCATCCCGAAGCCACATGCAGTGCTGCACCTGTGTTGGTGCCTGAGCCAACTGCACACTCCGTGTTCCCTGGAGTCTGTGTTGCTTGCCTCACTCCCCAGCCCTCCTGAGTGGCAGGGGAGCTGCCAAGGGGTGGGCAGGCCCAGAGGAGGGGGATGATTAGATCAAAATGGGATAAACCTTGGGTCCCAAGGAACTCTCGAGAGAAACTGAAGGCAGGTGCTTGTTTCATTCAGGGTGTGTGTGTGTGTGGGCAGAACAGGAAGGTGGTCATAAGGACAAGGTGTGTGGCAAAAGACTTTCCAATCCCTAGGACCAGGGCAAGTGCCCAGTCAGTATGAAAGTGGGCCTGGGTTGAGACGTACTCTAACCACCAGGGGGCGCTCTGATGCCCACGGGTGAGATTTGACTGTCTAGAGTAGGAGCCATGTTTGCAAAGGAAAGGGGTTGGATGGCCCAGGGGCAGTGGGAGGACTCCTGCTCCTTGCCAGCCACCGTGTGTGGAGTCCACAGAATGCCAAGAGCTGCAAGGGGTTCTTTGTGTCTGGGTCAGCCAGGGGTACACTGGACCTGGCTGGCACCAGCTGGTGAGACCTGGCTGTTGAATTTTCAACAGTTTTGCAAATTGGCTGTCAAACATAGCTGAGATTAAAATATAAATTTAGGATAAAAAATTATATTGAAAACAAAGGTAATAAACGCTTGAAACATGTCATTCTCTAATAAGCTAATCCCTTTTCTACTTTTTACCGTGAAAGATGCACCTGCCAATTAAGTGTACTCTTAAGCTTGCAACCTGTGTGTGTGTGCATGTGCACACGTGAGTGTGTGCATGATGGGGATGCCGTGTGACGGTGCCTTTCTTCCCTGGCCCAGTTCAACGATGGCTCCTTGAGGGCTTGTAATCAGCTACGCTGGGAGGATTTATACCATGGAAATGGAGAGTGCTGTGGGCAGACCTTTAATTTTTCTTTCCTCATAGATCCAGTTGCTGAAAACTAGCCATCTACTGACTGTGTGTGTGTGTGTGTGTGTGTGTGTGGAGAGAGAGATCAATCGATCGATCAATTGATTGTCTGGGTTGAGTGCTCCACCCCAGGAGCTTGGATCAGAGCCTGCAGGGAGTGAGGACATCCTGATCCGTCTGTCACTCTGCTAGGGGCTGGGGGTGGGCTCTGCTGTAGTGGGGTGCAGAGCAGGAAGAAGTCAGAAGGATTGAGAGAGAGTCACCAGGCTCATCGTCACCTCAATTTATTGGACTTTCCCATGACAAGATCCTGATCACAAAAGTGACTTATATTCATTGTGGAGCTGTTGTGGATAATAGAAAAGCATATAATGTCAGTACAAAAGTGCCTGTTGTTAACTTAATTTGATAGCATATTCGATGGTTGTAGACATATTCGTACAGCAATATAAAATGCACATAAATACATTTGGAGTAAATACATAGTGATTCCCTCAGTTCAATTTATGGCCCTCTCCTCGGATCATTAATTATTATTCTAAATCAAGAGTTCTGAATTCTCTTTGTGTGTGTACACGCACACACATGTGTGTGCCCACGTGTGCTCACCAGGGGTGTCTGGCGCCCGGGAAGATCTCTGGGCTGCTTCCCAGAAATGTTGTTTTTAAATAATAAAATAGATAGGCTTAAACAAATAAACCAATTAGATTAAAATACAGCTAGCAAACATTAAAAATGTATGAGATAGAAATGAATGTGCTTCTTTATGCCTTAAACAGCGAGAGCCAGCAGCGGGTGTGATGAGCACCATAATTTGGAAGTACTGATGAGTGTAAATGACACTTTGAGATACCTGCAACAACCATAATTTGATATGAAAATAGCTGTGATTTCTTTGGGTGACAGAGTCATGGATTCTGCTCACTCTGCTGTCATTTGTTGCCTGCATTCATCACAGAGGAAATGCTAAATTTCAGTTACCAAAAGGGAAAATATAATTTTTTTTCCCATTCTAGTCCTTGGATCCTTGAATGCCCTCTGTATGTGTGTGAGGGAGCACAGCCTCTAGGTTAAGAACCTCTGTCCTAAGTGGGTTTTCATGGTTTCTCCTCACAGTCAGGATAACTGCTGGCTTCCTACCGATCCCTTGAAATATAGCTACCCCAGCCTTGGCCCTTGGATTTAGTGATTCTGATGGTGTCCCTGTATGGAAGTCCTGCTTGTTGTCTGACTGTCATTGTTTCTGTCCTTGCTGGAGATGGGCATTCTAATTTAAGGGCTGTAATAATGATGGATCATGGTCATCTCTCTTACCTACAAACCACTTAAGCTATGCAATGGATGGTGATATGCAAATACACAGTATTTGAAATGCAAATAAGATTTGAGTGCTCTGTGAGGGTCATAGGATTTCAATGTCTTAGACAAACTTTGTTAATAAGCCAAGCAGCCGCCCTAGGCGGGATGCACCCCACAAGCAGTAGGCTATGTGCAAAATGCATACAGAATGAAATGCAAACACAGGCTGCCTTTGGTTCTGCCGTCTCTGGCTGGTAGGTTTGTGACCCGCTTCATCGAGCTGGAGGGCTTGAGCTGTCTGCTGAATTTCCTCCGGAGCATGGACCACGCCACCTGCGAGAGCCGCATCCACACCTCCCTCATCGGCTGCATCAAGGCGCTGATGAACAACTCGCAGGGGCGGGCGCACGTGCTGGCCCAGCCCGAGGCCATCAGCACCATCGCGCAGAGTCTGCGCACAGAGAACAGCAAGACCAAGGTGGCCGTGCTGGAGATCCTGGGTGCCGTGTGCCTGGTGCCTGGCGGCCACAAGAAAGTGCTCCAGGCCATGCTGCATTACCAGGTGTACGCCGCCGAGCGAACGCGCTTCCAGGTGAGGAGGCTCAGGGTGGGGCGGAGACGTCCTGCACGGGGGACCCAGGACTCTCTGTGAGCAAAAGCTCTCTGCAGAAGGGACAGAATGCAGGCTGCAGAGAGGACTGGGGGGACACGGGGTGGGGGATGACAAATGACACGAGAGGCTGAGTTGGGGGTTTGGTTGGGAAAACGGACTAGACCTGCTCACCAGGCTGTGGGTCCCTTGAAGCTGGAATATTGGTTTGCTTCGTGCTGGGGGCTCTGCCTCTCTGAGCCCAGTACCTGACTCACAGGAGGGGCTCAGTCAAGAATTGCTGACTTGAGTGTAGTTGCTGGAAGCAAGATGTTAGGCCCCATGCCTCATGTGGGGATGCTGGGAGCTCAGGCCAAGCTGTTCTCTCTTCTGTGCTGCTTGGCCTGCCTAGAAAAGTGGCAGTGAGGAGGACAGTAAGTGTGACGTGTCCTAGCACGAGCCTGGTGCAGGGTGGATGTCAGTGGATGTGAACCGTTGTTAGGAGCTCTGCGGTTGATCTGCCGGTACGGCTGTCAGCAAGCAGTTTGGAGCCCTACTACGTGCAGAAAGTGGCCCCTGATGCTGTGTAGATGATGCAGGAGGGATGCAAGGTCAGTGTCCAGGCCAGCCAGGACCTGGACAGGGAATACACGGGGGCGGTGAGCAGATGGAATATAGTCAGCATCCAAGCAGGGCTGCAATGCCGGCCAGCAGTGGGGACCGAGCCCCAAGGCTGCCCCCGTAGAACCCTGAGCCCTCCCTTCCTACCCTGGCCTGCCTTTCCGCCCAGACCCTGCTGAACGAGCTGGACCGCAGCTTGGGGCGGTACCGGGACGAAGTGAATCTGAAGACAGCCATCATGTCTTTCATCAACGCTGTCCTCAACGCTGGAGCTGGAGAGGTGAGGCACCTGAGCACCTGCTCCCGGTGCGTTCGAGTGCTTCCCGGGGGGAGGGGTCCAGGCATCTGGTTGGTGTGGCTGCTGCCACCACCATCATCTTCAGGTGCCTGGCGCATGTCATGAACCCTGCTGTCACCAGGGCCAGCCCTGCACTGCACGTGACCACAGCAGGGCTTGCTGGTGGCTCTCCAAAGTAGTGGTGAGGACCAGTGCCGGCTCTCCTTCCTCTCTAAATCTGGAAGGCCCCGGCCTAGGTAGCATCCTGCCTTAGGTGTGTCATGGACAAGCCCCAGACCTGCCTGGCTGATGCTGGCTCAGGCTGGTAGGGGCTGCATCGTGGAAGGAGGCAAGTTTTGGGCTTGCTTTCTAGGCCTTTCTAGGGACCTGCTTCTGGAGTGGTTTCTGGGATGACTGGTGATGCTTTTCTGGCATCTTCTATCGGAGGCATGGCTTCTGTTTGCTTTTCCCTTTGGGGCCAGCATGGGAGTCTCAGACCACAAAAATAACAACATTAGAAGAAACCGTTAAAGAGCAGAAGAGATGACCTCCCTAAACTCTAAGACAATCAGATGTTCCAATCAAGGTCAACTTGAAGGGCGGAAGGGAAAAAGGGGGCAAATGACCTCTGCCTCCCCCTCCTTTGTGCCGGCATACCTTCACGTGTGCAGTCCTGCTGACCTGGGTCACGGGGGTGGAAAGGGGGAGGGTGTCATCTGCCCCTTGCATGATGCTACCTGGTCAGTACCAACTGTCTGTGGCTGGTTTGTGTTTGATTAGTTGGTGACCATGTCTCATCTGGTAAGTAGTACAGATCTCCTCCCCTAGATAAGTACTGGAGTACTCCATTTTGCAAATGGAGAAACCAATGCTTTCCCAAAGTTATAATTTTTTACTTTTTTATTTAAAGATTTAGTTATTTATTTCAAAGTCAGAGTTATACAGAGAGGCAGAGAGAGAGAGGGGGAGAGAGAGAGAGAAAGAGGTCTTCTGTCCACTGATTCACTCTCCAATTGACTGCAACAGCCAGAGCTGTGCTGATCTGAAACCAGGAGCCAGGAGCTTCTTCCCAGTCTCCCACATGGGTGCAAGGGCCCAAAGACTTGGGCCCTCTTCTACTGCTTTCCCAGACCATAGCAGAGAGCTGAATGGGAAGTGGAGCAGCCAGGTCTTGAACTGGCACCCATCTGGGATGCTGGTACTGCAAGTAGCGCCCTTTCCAGCTATGCCACAGTGCCAGCCCCTCCCAAGGTTATAGAACTGGTAAGTAGGCCTGGTATCGTGGTGTAGCAAGTAAAGTGGCCTCCTGAGATGCTGGCATTCCATATGGGTGCTGGTTCATGTCCTGGCTGCTCCAAGTCCAGTCCTACTCCCTGCTTAATGACCTAGGAATAGCAGCGGAAGATGGCCTAAGCACTTGGGCCCCTGCCATCCACATGGGAGAACTGGATGAAGCTCCTGGCTTCAGCCTGGCCCAGTGCCCGTTGCAGCCACCTGAGGAGTGAACCAGTGGGTGGAAGATCTCTATCTCTCCCCCACCTCTGTAGATCTGACTTTTAAATAATAGATAAACAAAAACATTTTTTTAAAGTAAGTAGTAGAGCAGGGATTTGAGCTAAGACCTGTCTGACCCCAAAGCTTGAGTTCTGGGTCCCCTACACCACTGCTCTTCAGTGTCGGAGGCAAAGAGAGAACCGGTCAGGGGCTTGAGGGCAGTGAGGCAGGAGACCTAAATGGAACTGGGCCGTGGCCTGCGTTAGAGAAAGGGCTAAGTCGGAGGATGCTTCTTCCCATGTTTCCTTGGGCGTCTGGGCCTGGGGGCAGTTACAGGTGTGTTTGCTGCCAGAGATGTGCTGTGACTGTAGCGGGGGCATTGGAGATGGGTCCACCAGGGACTCTTGTGGGTGTTGAGACCAAAGCTGCTTCTCCCTTGTGTGCCTCCTCCCCGCCCCAGGATAACCTGGAGTTCCGCCTACATCTACGGTACGAGTTCTTGATGCTGGGGATACAGCCTGTGATTGATAAACTCCGACAACATGAGAACGCCATCCTGGACAAGTAAGGCCCAAGCCACCCAGCCCCTCTGCAAACCTGAGGACCTTAGGGAAGGCTGCACTTGTCCCTAAAAGTGACCTGCCATGCCCAGCATAGTCCAGGGTCCGCTCAGTGTGGGGCAGCTGTGCCCTTGTCTGTCTCTTGCTGACCTACCCGTCTTACCTCTGCAGTTACAGAGTTGAACCCAGTCGTCCTCGGCCATGGCAGTACTGCCCCCTGGGGGACATTTGGGAACACGTGGGGGCATTCTCTGGTTTTCAAAGAGGTTGGTGGAGGACATGGCTGGTGTTGGTTGTTGGGTCAGGAATGCCAAACATCCTGCAGTGTAGTCCTGCCCAGCCAAGAAACGCCCCACTCAGAGTGCATGCCATCAGCCCCTTGCTGATCCAAGGGCACAGCTAAATTCCTGCAAGCCGTCTCTTGTTCTGTCCCTTCAGGCTGGGTTTTAAGGAAGCAAGGATGGATCCTTTTGAGAAAGAGTTGGGTTGTGTTGTGGAAGAAGAACAGGAAATGAAAGAGAGACTGGCCATGAGGGGTGACTGAGGGGCAGTGTGAAGACCCTGGGGAAGATGGAGTGTGGGGGCTGTGGTCCTACCACTGAGGTGACTTCATCGCAGGAGATATTGGGCGATGGTTAGTGGCCTTTTTGGTTGTCACATTGAGTAGTTCTACTGGTATCTGGTAGGCAGAGGCCAGGGATGCTGTCAGCATCCAACAGTGCACACGTCAGCCTCCCACAGCCATCGACAACCAAGCCAAGAATGTCAGTGGTGCCCGAGCGGAGGAACCTGGAGTGGGGTGATGGTGATGGAACGCTGGGTTGGCCTGCAGGAGGGCCGAGCGAATCGGGAAGGGGGCGTGTGTGTTGGCCTGTGGACAGATGGCTTCCTTCTGCTTTTGCCTGGGCCTCACTTCAAGAACACATTCAGATCACACCAGCCAGTGTAGGGCTCAGAGGAGCCGTAGCCCCCCGAGCAGGGATGTTCTGGCTGTAACATCTCCACCCTCCCTGCCCGTCTTCCCCCCGCCTCCCCATCCTCTCTAGGCACTTAGACTTCTTCGAGATGGTCCGGAACGAGGATGACCTGGAGCTGGCCAGGAGGTTTGACATGGTGAGGAGCCTGTGGGGTTGAGGTGATGCCAGGGGGTTTCCAAGCAGTCCTCCCGCACACACTGACGCAGAGCGTGTGCCCGGGTGGGCCCGTGTTCCCTGGGTTCCCTCGTGGGTTTCGCCATGGCTGAGACCATGGCTGTGCGCTGGCGTTGGACAGCATCTGATGGGCTTTGCCTGAGTCCTCACCTGGTCACCTGCTTCTGAGGAGGCCAAAACCCCTAACGAAGACCAAGGGAGAGCCTGCTCGTGCACAAGATCAGTCTCCAGTGCCTTTCCTGAGCCGCCTCTCCTGCCTCCTCCCAGCAATTTCCCGAGTCCCTTCTCTCCATCTCTAGTCAGCTCATGAGCAGCAAGGCTTGATTTTAGTCTTAGAGATCCTGGAAGCACACAACTCTGCTGTTCAGTGTTGTGTTACCAGAGCCCTATCTGAAGAGAAGCATAGTTCTGGGCACTGCCATCACCAAGCCCCATCCCAGTGCCCTCTCGTCAGCCCTGCACGTGTAGATGAAGACTTGGGGGTGAGAGAGGGCGAGTCTTTCCTGGTGCTACACAACCAAGGGCTGGGCAGGGGCTTCTAACCCAGGTGGTAGACCCCTGCCCCGTGCCAACAGCCTACCTGGAGTCATCGACACCCCTGCTCCTGTCCCTTAGCTTGCCGCAGTAGTCCTCCACCAGGCAAAGTTTTGTGCCCTCTCTCCCCAGGGACATTTGCAATGGCAGAAGACATTTTTAGCTGTCACCACTGGTGTCAGGGGTGCCACCGGCACCCAGGAGGCAGAGGCCAGGGGTGCTTCTGAATACCCTACAATGCATAAGACAGCCCTTCTCTACATACAACAAAGACTTAGCCACCCAAGATGTCATAGTGCTGAGATGGAATAACCCTAGTTTATGTCATTAATAATCTCCTCCTCCTCCTCCCTCTCCCCTCTCCCCTTCCCTCCCTCCCTTTCCCTCTCTCCCCTCCTCCTCTCTCCCCTTCCTTCTCTCCCAGAGGTGGGGGGAGGAAACTGCTCCTGGGATGTGGGACTTAGGTCACAGACTCAGGGCCTTCTCTCCCCCATGTCCATTTCCCCCACTGCCACCTCTCCCCATTCATGGTGCCCTCCGCCCCCACCCCCAGGTCCACATAGACACTAAGAGCGCCACCCAGATGTTCGAGCTGATCCACAAGAAGCTGAAACACACAGAGGCCTACCCCTGCCTGCTCTCTGTCCTGCACCACTGCCTTCAGATGCCCTGTGAGTACCCCACACTCACTGCCCCCTCAGCTGGGCCTGGGCCCAGGGACGGGCCAGTGGAAACAGGGTCCCAGGGCCTCCCTTGCTTGCTGCTCTGACCATGTCTCCCTTGGCACCCCGAGGCCCCTGGCTCTGTTCTTCCCTCGCTGCCTTGGTCAGGCCGTCCACTGTTACCTGAGGGAGGAGCTGGGGAGCGTGGCCCTGAGCATCTGCAACATCCTAGTCCAACAAGCAGTAGATCTCTCATTGCAAGATCAAAACCGCTCTGGCCGGCAGCTCGTGACAGAGGAGGGGCCGGTCCTCTTGGGGGATTCCAAAAAGAAGCTTCTGTGCCTGCCTGGGAAAGCAGCTGCGTAGATGTGGCATGAACACTTCTACCTTTTAAAAAGGTGCTATCAGCCCCTCTCTAGCTGACTCCCACCCAAACATCCTTGCCTCTGCCTCTCTAAAAATGCCTAATGCTGGCATGTATGGGTGCAGATGGAGAAATTTTTAAGATCCAGGTGTGCACAGTGATCGAATTATTTATAATTACTAATAGCCACCCCACAATGCAATTTGAAATAAGCTTTAACTGTACCGTTTGGTACTTAACCCCCTCACACAGAAAACTAGTGTGGCCTATGAGAACGTTCAGCTAGCCAGACTTTCCTATGTGGAGGTGACGGTAGTGCTGGTGATCCCACGGTGGCTGCTACAACGTGTTGTGCAGCAAAGCTGAGCCAGGCCTGGAGCTAGGCGCTTGCGCACAGGGCTTCTCTCCCTTGGGATGTGCATTGTTATCTTCATTTGGTAGGGCCCAGACCTGAGGCTGAGCGTGTTATTTTATGGATGTATGTATTTGAAAGATTTATTTATTTATTTGAAAGAGTTACAGAGATGGAGAGACAGAGAGAATGTTCCATCTGTTGGTTCACTCCCTTGATGACCTCAGGGGCCAGCACTGGACTGGGCTGAAGCCAGGAGCTTCTTCCAGGTCTCCCACGTTGGTGGTATAGGCCCAAACACTTGGGCCACCTTCGGCTGCTTTTCCTAGGCCATTAGCAGGGACTTGGATCAGAAGAGGGTTAGTTGGTCTTGAACTGGTGCTCATGTGGAATGCCAGCATTGTAGGTGGTGGCTTAACCTGCTGTGCCACAGCGCTGCCCCTGAGCGTGTTCTTTCCATATAGAAGGAACTGTCATTTCTCTGTGGTCACAACTTCAGATGAAACACATTCCGCCTCTGCTAGCTGGTGACCTGACTTGGAAAGTAGATGGAAACCTACACCACTTTGCAATGCACCTGCTCATGGAGCGGTGGAAAGGAGGACAGTCGCTGGCCTGCACTAGGAAGCTGTTAGTTCTCTGAAGCTCCACCCAGAAGTTCTACATGGAAGGCCAGGGAAACCCGATTCTTCTGCTCCTAGGATTCCTGTGTTCAGTGTTCTGTGTTGTCCACTAATCCTACTTTTCTCCCAGATGGGTCTCTGTAGACTGGGTTGTCTGCCTTGTCAGCGTTATGATGTGACTTTGACATCAGGATTGTGCTGGTTGGTTTCCCCTCATGGTCACTGGAGACAAAGTGCTTGGGGTCAAGAACCAAGGAAGGAGGGGCCTGGTGTCATGGCATGGCAGGTAAAGCAGCCACCTACACTGCCAGCATCTGATGTGGGAGCTGACTCAAGTCCCAGCTGCTCCACTTCCAATCCATCTCCCTGTTAATGGCTTGGGAAAGCAGTGGAAGACAGCCCAAGTGCTTGGGCTTCTGCAGCCCATGCAGAGACCTGGAAGCAGCTCCTGGTTTGGTTCCAGCCATTACGGTCATCTGGGGAGTGAACCAGCAGGTGGAAGATTTCTCTCTCTCTCTCTCTCTCTCTCTCTCTCTGTCTCTCCATCTTTCTCTAACTCTTTCAAATAAATAAATATTTTTTTAAAAAAACTGAGGAAGGAGAGCTTATGGCCATTATGTGAAATAAAGTCCAGGAACATCCAAATTAGAAAGGACTGGAGTGAGACCCTGGAAGAAAAGGCACAATACATGATCTCTTTGTCTTCCTAGTTCAAGGTCACCTCTAACAAGAAGTATTCCTGAATTCCACTAGCTACTTCTGTAGCTCCTTTGACCCTTTCTCAGGCTCACTTGTAATCACTTTCCAACCATCCTCTGTAAAACAATAGCGTAGTTAATCCTAAAATCTTCTGTTAAAAAAAATTCCCCTGGAGACTTCATTATTCAGCACGTAATATTTTAGAACAGATGCTTCTTATAGATAGTATAAAAAGCAATTTGCCTTCCCAGGGTCTAAACAGGGTAGCAAGGAAGCCAGGGAGCATTTCTGGGTGTAGGGAAATCTTTGAGAGAGCTGGCACGTTCATGGTCAGTTGTAGGTCATCAATGGCTGCTTTATGAGTCTCTGTCATCAGCAGTGGCCATCCCTGTCCCACCAGACTAGAAGCCTACCATGGGTGGGGAAGGGCACGTGTCCCCAGCCTGAGCCCAGGGCAGGCTCCGGGCTCAGTAAAGGTGTAACGCCCGTCCTCCCTCAGACAAGCGGAACGGCGGCTACTTCCAGCAGTGGCAGCTCCTGGACCGCATCCTGCAACAGATTGTGCTTCAGGATGAGCGAGGTGTGGACCCGGACCTGGCTCCGCTGGAGAACTTCAACGTCAAGAACATCGTCAACATGTGAGCCGCGACCCGCCTCTGCCCCGACTGCCTCCACCTTCCGTCTCTCTCCCACCCTGGGCCTCGGCACTGAGACCTTTGGCTCCCTCTGTCAACCCAGACGTCCCCCTGGGTCCCGAGCAGCGTTGTCCAGGACAGCTCCCTGAGCGGGTGGAGATGCCGCATCTCTGCCGCACTGTCCAGCAGAGTGGTGAATGTGGCTGTTGAGTGCTTCCCAGATGGCTAGTGTGACACGGAATTTAACATTGTATTTAAGTTTGCACGGCCATGTGACTGGTTGTTCCCATGTCAGAGAGCATGGGTGCACAAGGTGTGTGTTCACCTCTCAGTGACTCACTGCACGGGTTGGGTAGAGCAGGGATTTCAGCACAGTAACCTAGACTCTGCTGAACAAGCTCCCGTACGTGGACCGCCTCCACGCCTCTATGCAGTTTTCCTATGGCCCATGAGCTAAGGATTTTTTTTTTTTGCAGTTTAAACACAAGAATACTGCAGACTGTATGTGAACATGAAAGCAAAAATATGCTCTGTAGTCCTTTATAGCAAGTTTGCCCATGACTGACAGAGAGGGCAGCCATTTGGCCACGGGGCTGCTGGGTGGGATGGTCAGATGCTGGGGTCTCTGGTTTTACCACCTTTTGCTGACTGTGGTGTAGAGAGACATGGAGAACTAAACTGAAATGCATATCAATGAAACACACTGCTTTCAAATTTTGAATTTTCACCTAGCTTTCTGTGCGAGCCTGAGCTAATTGCCCACAAGGAGATAAATTGGCTCTCAAGGATTCATTATATTGCATTCTAAAGCTCAGTAAAACATTGTTGCACCTTTTTTTTTTCACTTGCACAAATCATCAGATGTTGATGTCATGAAAATCCTAACTGGTTTATTGGACAAGTGCAACTAGAAAAATGATCCAAAAGCAGTTATTGCCATGTTTCCCACCATTCTGCACCGTGGGCGTTTAGTGAGGAGACTTCCCAATGCAGCCTTTGCTCCTCCTTAGACTACAGAAGCCCTAAGATCTCTGGGGGGACCACCCCCAGGTATGCATCTGCACCTGTGGCTTGATTTGGCCTTTCAGTCTCCCTGCTCCACCAGTGGGCCCAGGGAGGCCAGAATGGCGGAGGTGCGCGCATACGTGCCCATGATGAATGGCTTCTTTGCTCTGTCCCCCTCCTTCCAATCCCTTCTCTCTCCCACCTGCCTTTCCACTAGCTAACCCTCAACAGGGGCAGCCTGGGGGCAGGAAGGAAAAGGGGAAAAGGTCTTAACTCAGCAGGTAACTGAGTAAATAGGCTTCCTGCTCTGTGGGCTGGGTACAAGGGTAAGGATGCTTGTCTGTTGCTGGCATTGACAAGTTCCTCGCTGCGTGTGTCTCGTTATAAAACCCAGCTCACGGGCATGCAAGATTTTCTTTGCAGCTGGCTGCTTGAAGCCGCTGTCCCATCAGCCTCTGGTTCACGCAGACTGCTGGTGTTGACATGGCCAGTTCTGTCCCAGGCAGGCCCTTCAGACAGGAGTCATGTGGCTTCAGCCCAGTTCCCCCACAAGGCTTACATCTGGCCGAGGGGCAGCCCTTACACAACCTCCTGTGCCAAAATTCCCGAGGGGGCTGGCAGATCCTGGCATGGTGGCACTCACCCGCTCAGTCATGCTTCAGCCTCTGAATTCACCCCTCCCTGAGTCAGACCCCAGTCCTCCTTGCTGCCTTCCCAGTGTCGGCAGACATGGGTGGGCCCACGGGAACCCCTGCCCTGGGTGGTGGGAAGGAGGCAGGGTTGGGAAGACAGCAAAGGCTCTCTCCAAAGAAATCTCTCCACCAAATATTACCCTTTCTCAGTGCTGTGTCCCCTCCATAGCATGGATCTGGTTGAAGGGCCCACAAGTCATGCACTTACCGCTTCTGCACTTAGATATTTGTGGAAGGAGTGGTTACTGGGATCTCTCCCCTTTCACCCTGGTGTCAAGATGAGAGCATGGTTTTCACCCCTTATTTCAAGGGTCTGACATAGATGAGGCCCTCTTGTTTCAGACATCCTCTTTCACCTCCACACACTCATTTTGTCTTGTAGGAGTAGGCGATTTCTCTCACTCTTACACATGAGAAGCCTGCACCATGGTGTGGTCAATATTTTGGTCTCTCTCTGAGGCCAGGGTCTATTTTCACAAAGGGAGACATGTCATACAAGCAAGGGAAGCCTGAGATTCAGTCCTAGTTAACCTGAGATTCAGTCCTAGTTCACCTGAGATTCAGTCCTAGTTCACCCGCTGAATAGCTCTTGGCAATGTTGCTGGTCTCTGAGCCTCAGGAGCTCGACATGAACCACCAAGGGATTGGATTCTAAGGCGTCTAAGGTTCTTTGTACTCTGGTAGTGCTCACCGATGTGCAATGAGAACTGGGCAGGGGTGGGGACCTGGAGGGACATCTGGGAGCTGGAATCCTAGCCTCCTACGTGTGGCTGGGCAGACTTGAGATCAGGGTCCCAAAGTGGGCAGCAGAGAGGCTTCGTGGCTCCTGGGCAGCTGTGACCGAACATCCGACAAACACGCCACCCTTCCCTCCGCTCCCCACCAGGCTCATCAACGAGAATGAAGTGAAACAGTGGCGGGAGCAGGCCGAGAAGTTCCGGAAAGGTGAGGCACCTGCTGACCGCTCCCTAACCCTCTCCCTGCCCGGCCCAGGACCCATCTTCTGCCACAGAGGGGTGTACAAATGTCCACCACGCCCTCCCGATCCCTTCGCAGAACACACGGAGCTCATGAGCCGGCTGGAGAGGAAGGAGCGGGAGTGTGAGACCAAGACGCTGGAGAAGGAAGAGATGATGCGGACGCTGAACAAGATGAAGGACAAGCTGGCCCGAGAGTCCCAGGAGCTGCGCCAGGCCCGGGGACAAGTGGCAGAGCTGGTAGCCCAGCTCAGTGACCTCTCAGTACGCGGGCACCCTCTCCCTTTTACAGAGCTGGGCCGAGACACTGGGCCTCAGGTTAGGGTGGGGAGAACAGTGTGGAGGGCATCTCGGACCCCAGGGTGAGGCAGAGGAGAGAGGGGGGAACCTCACGCTAGGCTGAAAGGGACCCCTAAGGCTGCATGAGTGGCATGCTCGTGTTGATTAGAAAGAGCAGCATCGTCTGTGGCTCATGCTGTCCCAGGAAGCACACCTTGGAAAGCATGGTGCAAGCGGGACTTCTGCCCCCTCCCCGTCTCAGCTGGATGTCCTGGTGCAGTCAGTGGCCTGTGCAACTGTATGGGTCAGTCCTGTGGCTGCCCTGTGAGGCTGTGACTCCAGTCGTAACTGTGTGTATGTGTTGGGGGGGTGTTGGACATTTGGGATGCAGAGGGAGCACATGAGAGCTCAGTGTGCACGGGAGGTGAGAGCCAGACTCGGGGCCCAGCACAGATGGAGAAGAGGGAGGAACAGGAGGGTGGAGAGATCTGAGTGGAAGCAGTGCTCATGGCTTTCTCCTTTTGATCCTTCTGTCTCCGTACAGACCGGCCCGGTGTCTTCTCCACCTCCCCCTGGGGGCCCGCTCACCCTGCCTTCTTCCTCGATGACAACCAACGACCTGCCCCCACCCCCACCCCCTCTCCCCTTCGCCTGCTGTCCCCCGCCACCGCCACCACCCCTTCCACCCGGTGGGCCTCCCACGCCCCCGGGTGCACCCCCTTGCTTTGGCATGGGCCTGCCCCTCCCCCAGGACCCCTTCCCCAGCAGCGATATCCCGCTCAGGAAAAAGCGTGTCCCCCAGCCTTCCCACCCGCTGAAGTCCTTCAACTGGGTCAAGCTGAACGAGGTGAGCTCCTGGGAAGGGGTCCGCGGGTCGTCCTGCAGCCGGTGGCGGTCAGCCCCATGGATGCCTCTGGCCGTTTGCATTTGTCCTTGCTGTGTTCCTCCTCTGTGGCTGCAGAGGGTGGGTTTGTTGGTGCCGGGAGACTCGCTGTGTGCTGGGGAGAACAACTCTTGTGGGGTGGTTTCTGGACACCTGGTAGAGACACCTACAAACGGAACTTGTGTGTGCTGAGGGCTAATGGAGCCACAGAGATGGCACAGCCTGGACCAGGCAGGGAGCCTTGTAGATAAGACCAAAACTGGGCTACAGCTTCAAGGACAGGGTGGGTTGGAGACTAAGAGTGGAGATGTAGGCAGGGAACTTGGGCTGATGTGGGGAGCTGAGGACGCTAAGTACAAAGGACTGAAGACTTGGGTGCCCTGAGATGCAGCCAATTGGGCGACTTCTGGGGAGGCCCATACACACCCAGACCAAGAGTTAGGGGTCCTCTGAGAAGAAGCACCAGCCCCAGGCCACACGGGAAGCAGTTTCGCTCTTGGACTTGTGTGAACACAGAGCACAGTGTTCCTGGGTGTCTCAAGACTAGGAACTGAGGACGACTCCTAGCCAGAGTCCTGCTTCTGGTGCTGTCTGATGGAAAGTCCTGTTATGAGACCAGTCACGTTGTCCCTGGAGTAAACACAGAGAGGGCAGATGGTTCCAGTGGACCCAGCCATGTCTATACATCAACAGCAGGCATACAGACTCCAGCTGAAGCTGGGGTGATGGATCTACTCTGATCTTATGTGCACGTCTTGGGCTCACTCTTGGGGGATTCACAGCTGCACCATTGTCTTTGAGCTTAAATGAGCTCAGATGGATGCTCACAAGAGATACGAGATTGTTAGTTAGGAAGGTGGCTGTTTGCTAGATGACTGCTCCTAATGCAGACCAGCTGGCCAGCTTGAAGTCTGTTTTATGTAGAGGATTTTGATGGGCAATATAATGGATCATAATAAAAGGAGCCCTGTAAGAGCTTAGTGTTTGGCAAATTAAGACATCTGTTCAAGTAAGCACTTAGGGATCCTGGGGCTGGGTTGAGGGAGAGGTCCTAACCTCTAGCCAAAGCAGGTGTGGCTCTAACTAGCCATGTGACCTGTATCTGCCATGCATGTTGTCCCTAACTGACTTGGGTTGTCTGAGATGGTCTCTTAGCTCCCTTCTGCCTTTGGTGTATCAGCTAGGTGGGAAGATGGAGCGTGAACAAGGCCCATGCATCATCTGTTGTTTCTAGTAACTCCAATCTGAGTTCTGAACACTGTAGGGCCACTTGCTAGCAACATTTTAAAGCAAGATCCTCAGAGTCTGCAGCAACTGGCCTGCAGTGGGGCCCATGGCCGCTTCTCCTCGGCCACAGGTGAGCCAGAAAGGCCAAACGCTCTGGAGAACCGAAAGCCACAGGCTGCACAGAGGCATTCAGTGTTCTTGGTCAGAAACAACATTTGAATTTATGGCGGCTCAAAAAGGAGAAATAATACACTTTTGTCTCGTCTGCTTAATTTAAGGTTTTCAACTGACAGTTTAAGGCCTTCAATGTAATGAATGGTTGGCACGCGTGCCAATGACTAAGGGAGACAGACAAGGCAGCTAATATTTTTGTGACATTTTCAGCCTAGGGAGCTTTGTGCATAGGGTTTTCTCTGGGGTCCAGTAATAGCAAAGCTTCCATGAATTCCCCCAAGGACCCAGAGTAGGCCAGAGGTTTGTTCCCAGCCTGGAGCGGGCAGGTTTGATGGAATATGCTGGAATGCACTTGTAGACTAGTTTGCTGGGGATCTGCAGAGGGGCACTGAGTAAGATCTGAGAGCTACTGCTCCAGTCCCTGGTATGTGATTGTGTGCCGGGGCAGGTGATCTAATCTTGGGGCTTCAGATTGCGGGGCCTGGCTGAAGACAGTCCTTGGAACAGTGGCTGACGGGGAGTAGGAGTCATAGGCATATTAGGTCAGTTGTTACTGGTGGCACTGCTGTGTGTGCCTATAGTGTGTTCTTGCAGTAATCCTCCATCAGCTCAGTGAGGTCAGCCACACTGACTTGGTTTGCTTGTCTGTGACGTGGTCAAAGAATAGCAGCCATCCTGGAGCCCAGGGTCCCGGTGGATGGCCTACACGAGGTCAGCCTGACCAGATAGGCAATGGGCAATGCCCAGCAAGAGAAATGTGATGAAGTCCGTTTCTGACAGAGTTCCCTGCAAACAGCATGCTGTCTCTAGAGAGGGGCGTATGCCCTAGGAATCCAGAATGGAGATGTGAGGCCCTGGCCTGAGTGGTGCACAACTTGAACTTGAGAATGATTGTGCATATCAGGGAGACAGAGGTAGGTTAGCAGACGGAGTGTGCGGGGAGCAGAGCTGCTCTCCCTGGCTCCAGACCTCAGTTAGACCCTCAGTGAAGAAGCTGGAGGTCTGGAAGTAGTCGGGGAGTTGGGGGGTGGGCCTGGTGTTTAGGAAGAAGTGAGAAAGATCCTGGTGCTCAGGCTGTGGCCCGCCCAGGGGGGGCTCTCTCCAGTGTTGCATCCTCTCTCCCACCCCAGCTTTTGTCTCCTCGCCCTGGCCTCACCAACCAAGAAGGGGCAGAGGCGGCTTCCCTTGTGGGGGCCTGGATTTAAGTGCGGGTTTCCCTCCAGAAGAGACTCAGGGCCATGCCCACCCACGTGACTTCAGCCAGCCCCCTCCCTGTCTTCCCTCGCTCAGCTCCCCTTCCCGTCTCCTCTCTGCCTCCCTCATCCCCCTTTGCAGGAGCCCAGCCTCTCCTCCCATTCCGCGTGCACACACGCATGCGCGCGCGTGTGCGCGCGCGCGCGCACACACACACACACACACACACACATGCTTGTTTCTGCCACAAGAAGAATGTGTCTGTGTTGGGCTTGGCCAGCTGCCTGTATCCCTGGCTGCCATGAGCTTCCCAGGTCTGCGTTCCACCGGAGGGTCCCCAGCCTTCCAAAGGCCACAGGAATGTCCCCACCCCCCAACTCTGGCCTAGCCTCCCCTCTGCAGAGTTTAAGAAAATAACAGTGAGGGGAAAGTATGCTTCTGTCTCCGAGCCTTGCAGAGGGGGAGTTGGAGGAGGGGGATGGGGAGGCAGTGAGCAGGTCCCCTGGCCGCCCTCCAGCCCAGGAGAGCTGGGAGGGTCTCCTCCAGAGGAGGCCAGAGCTCTGATGAGGGGTGGGCTCTGGGCAGAAGCGGGGTTCACTGTGTCCTCTGAGCCATTAGCAGAGCGTTACAAGGTTGCCGGGGTCCAGCTGTGGCTTGGCTCAGAGCCCCCATCCAGGCCCTCGTGCCAGGGTCCCTCCCAGAGATGGGGCAGTGGCTGCCTTGAGAGACCTCAGCATAGGAAACCCTGAGCCCCTTGCACTCCTAGGGCTGGGGGGCGCCTTCCCTGGGCCTCACCTCTAAAGCTGGCTGGTCTGAGCAGGGCCGCTACAGGGGCCAGTCTCCCCACGTTGGCACCTGTCCACCTCTGTGAATCTGAGAAAGTGGGAGGAGGAGTCTTGGGTGCAGGGAACCCATTCCGCGTGGAGGCTCTGAGGGTCCCGAGTATGTATGGGCCCTCATCCTTGCCGTGAGTCTGGCCAGCGACGGGGTCAAGGCCAAGCCTGCTGGCCCATGGGGGTGGGGAGCGAGGACCTGTATGAGCGCCCTGAGCATTGCTCTTGCTCTGCCTTTTTTTCCCCCTGGGGCCATTGTTCACTCACTACTGCAGCACTTCCAGGGGTTTCTGGAACATTCTCACATGTGCCCCACACAGAAGGGAGGCCTTGGCCCTGGAGCTGAGTGTTGAGGAGGGGCCGAGGTCTGAGGGGTGGGGTGGGGCGGAGCCTGGCCACTGCAGTGCTGCTGTGGGTTCGAGAGGCTGCGGGCACCCCCATAGTGAAGGAGCTGGCTCAACCGAGCCTGACTCTCACCCTGCATCTTAGGAGCGAGTCCCCGGCACCGTGTGGAATGACATCGATGACATGCATGTATTTCGGATCCTAGACCTGGAGGATTTTGAAAAAATGTTTTCAGCCTATCAGAGGCACCAGGTAAGACCCCTGGCCCCTCGCGTCTTGATATCCAGTCTGACTTCGCACACCACATGCCTTGCCCCTGTCTGAGTTCCCTCCCTCCGTCCTTCCCTCTTCCTCCTCCCTCACACACGGACGCAATGGTGTGTTCTGTGCAGGTCCCGTGTTCCTGCTGAGGATGTAGGTGCAGCCACACCCACTTCCCACCACGTCGCAGTTTGTATTTATAGGGCCAATGAGGAACTTCTATTTTGTTTATCTCTCTCATCCTGGCACTCTGGGGATGGTCATTGTTGACCAATGCTCTCTTTGACCCAGGGTTTAAGAATTATAGCTGGAAGGCATTATAACTTAAAAAAAAAAAAAACTATTTATTTGAAACATAGAGGGATAGGAGAGACAGAGATTCCCATCCGCTGGGGCACTCCCCAAATGGCCACAGTGTATGGGGCCTGGCCAGGCCAAAGCCAGGAGTCTGGGGGTCCATCTGGGTCTCCCACATGGGTGCAGGGGCCCAAACACTTGGGCCATCTTCCACTGCTTTCCCAGGCCACAGCAGAGAGCTGGATCGGACACAGAGCAACTGATACTCAAATCTGCTCGGATATGGGATGCCAGTGTTGGCAAGTGGTGGCATAACCAACCCTGCGTTATCATTTTTTTTTCTTTTGACTTATGCTGAATTTATTCCTGAGCCCTAAGTTTTTTTTTTTTCCTTCAGTTTCATCAGGAACATCTGTTTGTCCTGTGCTACCTCCTCTTCTGGTTTAGGAACAGTGTGTTCCTTTTCAGTGAGATCATCTCAGTGCTGCAGGGGGAGCTCTTGTATGGGGCCATGCGGCCATGGGCTCTGGAGGGGCTGTGGCACATCTTGTGTGCCTGGTTCACTTGGATGTGTTCAAGGACTAGGCAGTCTATACCAAAACCCTCAGTTCTGTGTTACTCTGCACTTGCAAGCACGCACAACAGAAACTCAGTGCTCTTTTTGGCCACCGACCCTGTGTGCACCCCTGCTGCTTGGCCTGGGCGCACCCAGAGATGCCATCGTAATGACGGAATGGCACACGTTGCTTCTTTCTGGCACACCTTGCTTCTTTCGTGTGATGTCGTTCAGATCCTCAGTGGTTTTCAGCTCTGCGTACCCTTGGTGGCCTGGGAAGTTTCTCAGGCTTTCTTAAAGTGAACACAGAGATTGGAACCTCTTGATTTGCACGATGTTGTGGGGTTTTCTAGGTCAAGTGAATAGTGAGCCATTCTCCCCAGTCACTTAAGGCCGCCTGCAGGAACAGGACATTGTCACTTTTCAAACTTCTCTGTTTTCGTCTCCCGACACCCTCAGAGTCTGCTGAGCAGAGGATGCTAACCCGGCAGGGAAGGCCTGCCTGCCACTCTGTGGCCCCTGACTGGCTTGAGGCCAGGGCTGGTCCCTGGGCCCACTCTGCAGGCTCTGTGTGTGGATGGCTGGCCAGCAGGTCTGGGCCTCCAGCCACAGAGGAAGTAGGGGAGGTGGCTGGTGGCCGAACACAGGGCACTCCTGAGGCAGGGGTCTCCAGCTATGCCAAGTTCTGCAGGGGAAAAGTAAAAAGGCTGGTTCTGGGACTTCATCCTTTATCAGGAGCTGAGCTGGGGCCTGGGAATCTGCATTGCACTAGCACAGCTGAGGTCCTTCTCCTGAGTCCGGTTTGGAAATCGCTGATGGCAGAGGCCGTAAGGTCATCACTTGCTCGCTCTCTCTCTGGCCTACTTAGGGGGGATGGCTGCCTCTCTGGGCTGCATTCCACCTTCCTTGAGCCTGCTTAGTCCAAACCCCTGCTCCAGGGCTGGGCTCACCCAGACTGCTGTGTCCCAGTATGCCTCCTATTTCCTGGGACGGAAGTCACATGGCCTTCTCTGTCTGGGGCTCTGGGTGCTGCCGTCTCTCCCCTCTTCATGCCCTAGGCAAGTTCTGAGTTGGTGGCTTCAACTCCATCAAGGTCAGTGGGGGAGGACACAGGGGCCGGCTGGGCCTCCTGGGGCCCCTTGAGACAGTCAAAGGACAGACAGAGGGGCAAGGAGCAAACTCAAGGGTGCTGGCTTTGCATTGCCTCAATAGATGCAACTCCCTGAGCTTCCGGCTCAAGTTTGCTTGGGTCAAAGATGAACTTGTCCTCATCCTCGGGTGCAGGAATGCCCTGAGGTCTCAGCAGAGGAGAGGGGAAGGCAGGCAGTCAAGGCCAGGGGTGGGAGAGCTGGTGCTGGGCTTCCCCGGGAGGAGCTGCCGGATCTGCTGTATCTGGCTTCTCTGTGAGTGCATGCCTGCTTCAAGCAGCTCCTGCCCCGTCCTACCGCAGGTCCCCGTCTCCACCTGTGGGGGTCTCACTGGGATGAGGGGACAGAGTAGATGTTGAAGATCCCCACATCCGTCCTGCTGTTCCTGGGTTCCTGAATCTCTTGACTAATGTTGTGCATGTTTAATTCTTTATTGGCTGTGGCTGCTACCTGCCTAGGAGCTGATAACTAATCCTCCCCAGCAGGTGAGTCACTCTCGGGCCTCTGAATACTCTAACTGCCCACTGCTGTGCTGGGCTGCTGCCCTGCACTGGGCCCCAAAGAGAGGGCTTCTCCATTCCATCTCCAGCCTCGCTGCCATTCCACACAGGGAGGCATGGGAAGAGGGCAGTCCCCAGAGAGAGAGGGTGATCATGGGAGAGGGTGGTAATGCAAACGGACTCCTGGAGCAAGGGAAGGGATCGTCCACTGGAGTGACGAGAAGGCTTCTTCTAGGTCTCTGAGGCCCAAGGCAAGGACTGCACAGACTGGGCACTGCACAATGCTAGGACCACAATTCCCAAAGACGCTGACATGGGTGGTGGCCAACGTGGAGCCCATGCTTGGAGGGAGCTCCCAGAGTGAGAACAGTACACCGGGGAGTCTCCAGCCTCCTCCCCCGCCAGGAGGGGGCATAGACAAGGAGGCGTGGGTAGGAGAAGCCCTGACTTCTTGGAACCCCAGAAGGAACTCCACCAGGGATTCTGCCTCACTGTTCCCCCAACTCTGAACCCCTGCATTCCCTTGACTCTGGGCATGCTGGGGTTGGGCCTGAAGTCCCCAGGGGCCAGGAGCTATGGCCTCATGGGAGCTTGGACCCAACTTCTCATCCTTCCCTGGGGAGGGTCCTGGGAGTGGGTAGGAGAGTGGGGGTTGATTCCCTAGGGGGCATGGTAGTTATGTCACATTGCCCAGAGCCTCGGGGATCGGTCACCCCCTGTCCCCTGGATCAGCCCCTTTGCCTGCCTTGCCCGGACAGGATAATCTTTAGAGAGGGGGCTGCTCGCTGTGCCCCTCCACCCATCCTGGCCCATGGTAAAGTTCCAGATCCCTCCCCTTCGAGTCAGTTAAGGGCCTCCTCCTGTCTTGCCGGCTTTCCCCGGCAGGAGGGTGGACCCTGGGGGTTGGGCAGGAAGCATACTAGGGAAGACACTCAACTCCTCCCCTTGGCTCCTTGGTTGCAGAAAGAGTTGGGCTCCACCGAGGACATCTACCTGGCCTCCCGCAAGGTCAAAGAGCTGTCGGTCATTGATGGCCGGAGGGCGCAGAACTGCATCATCCTTCTCTCCAAGTACGGGATGGGTTCTGGGTGGGAGGAAACGGGGGCCCCCAGGGGTCAGAGGCCCAAGCCGGGGTGGAAGCAGCTGAGTGTGGGAGTAGGGGGACGGCACCGATCTAGAACCTTGTCCTAGGAGCCTGCGTTGAGCAGCGGCGCACGGCTCTGCCCCACTCACCAGGCCCTCGGAGTGGCCTGGTCCACGTCTGGCAGTGGAGCTGCCCAGCTCAGGGAGCAGCTCAGGCCAGGGAGCGGCATGACGTCAGCCACAAAGCATTTCCTGCTGCTGCAGGACAAACGGGGCAGTGTGTGCCCTAACAGCACTGCTTCCGTGCTGGACCTCCCTCCCGTGCCAGGGTCAGAGGGCCTCACCTCCCGTACTATTCTTAGTGTTGGCTCCAGCTGCCACCGGGACGTCTGCACCCCCTCCACCCCTACCAATGCTCCAGGCCTCATTTTTCTCCCAATCTGGGGGAGGGGGTGGTTCCTAATCTCAAGGATTCCCAGCAGATGTGCATGTTGGGGCTGGGGGGAGGCAGGGAAGGGGTGGGGGTGGGGTAAGAGGGTGGCTGCTCCTTCTCCCAGCCAGCAAGACTGACTTGGACAGCTGGGTGGGAGCGAGGTGCTGTGGGAGACGGAGAGTGATTCTGCCTCTGAGAATGAGAGAAGCAGGAAACCGGCCCCACAGCCCCATCCCGCCTTGGAGATGCAGGCATGGGGAGGAGTAGGGCCAGAAACCCTTTGCCCCGTGTCTTCCATCTACACAGAAGGAGTCCCTTTCCCTCCCAAACATTTCCTTCAGCTCTGTGGAGCCTCAAGTGATAGACAGGAGACTTGGTGCAGTTAGAGGCACAAATGCTCATTCCACAGTCTGGAGAGAATCATGGGGCTTAGCCTGGTAGACGACAGAGCAGGCCAGCAGGGTTCCCGTCCCGTCGGGGAGAAGGCAGAGGCTGCACCTCCTGGGGGGAGGGGGTGGGGCTGTCCCCAGCCTGAGGACCAAGCTGGCTGCTGCTCAGCAGGTGGGTTTTGCCTTAGGTTGAAGCTTTCCAACGAGGAGATCCGGCAGGCTGTCCTGAAGATGGACGAGCAGGAGGACCTGGCCAAGGACATGCTGGAGCAGGTGAGGTCGTGCGGCGAAGGGCAGGGGAGCTGACCCTAAGGGGCAGCCATTCCCTCCCCAGCAGCCTGCAGAGAGCTGAAACTCCTGGGTCCAGGAGCAATCAGCCTGAGGGAGTGAGGGAAAGTTTCTGGAAACCTCCCTGGGCCAGCCTTTCTGGGGGAAGGCTAGAGGAGATAGGGGCTACAGTGCTCTGCAGGCCTCAGGGTAGAGTCAGAGTGTATAATGATTTTTTTCTTCTGTAAATCTCTTCCTCCTCAATTTATCATGCCCTTTAAGAGAAATGTAGGAAATATCAATAAAAAAGCACCATCAATTGGGGTTTATTAAAAGTAGGAACTTCTATCTAACAAAAGACACAATTACTAGGTGAAAAGACAAACTTGAGAAGGAGATACCTGCCGCGTGTGAAAAGCTCATGGAAAATCTTTTAATTCCATTTTCTGTGGACTTTTTGAAGTTCCCTCATATCTAACGAAAGGTCTTGCGTCCAGAATAAAGAACTCCATGAATCCAAGGAAATGAAAAAAAAAAGGAAAAGAAAAAAAAAAACTTAAAAATGAGCAAAAGATTTGAACAGGCACTTCATAAAAGGCCACTTGTAAACACCAGTGAGCATGTAAAAAAGTGTTCAATACTGTTAAAATCATCATAGATGCAGCCAGACGCCAGGGGATGGTGGTCCCCACACCCACCCACCAGAAAAGCGAAAATTAAAAAGACTGACAATGCCAGGTGCCGGCAAGGATGTGAAGCAGTGGGAATTCTCATCCGGCACAGTCCTTTTGGAAAACTATTTGGCGGTGCATACCAAGGCTAAACATACATGAACGCCTTTGCCCTGTCATCCCACTCTTAGGCACATTCAAGTGCAAGCATTGACTGTAAGACACACACAGGAGTATTTATAGCAACTTTATTTTTAAAGCTCTCAAAATCTGAGCAGCTCGAAAGCCCCTAGTGGGAAAGGGAGCACAGAGTGTGGCATAGCCACACCGTGGACTACTGCTCGGCAGTCAGGGGCACAGATGCCCAATACTCACACTGTGGATGACTCTCAGACATTGTGTACAGTGAAAGAAATGAGACACAGCCGAGAGCACACAGCACAGCCTAGAGCACGCGGCACAGGCTCGTCCCCATGCGGGCCGGAGACCGGTGAACCCAAGGCGAAGGAGTTCACTTGAGAAGTTACTTTGGGAATGGATGTGATGCAAGGCTGTGGGAGTGTTCTGCATGTCGACCCTGAGACATGGCTCCGTGGGCAGGAAGTTTTGACAAAATGCATTGAACTTGCTCATTGAAAGCAAGTGCGTTTTCTCTCACCTAAGTGACAGCTCGCTACAATTTGCTTAAAAAGCAGAGATCGCTGAGCCGGGTGTTTAAGAAGGGTGTACTGTGTATAAGTCACATCTCATTTCTGAAGGGTGAAAACAGAATTCTGAAGCTGGGTGGCCTGGCGTTGTCTTTGGGCAGACAGAAACATATCAGCCAGTCCCCGTGAGGGGACTTCTCTTTTCAGCCCCCTCCCCATCTTGAGCAGAGGTGGTATCTGGGCTTACCTCCCCAACCCCCACTCGCTCACCAGGGTCCTGCCTGTCATCTCCTCTTTGCAGCTCCTCAAATTCATCCCAGAGAAGAGTGACATCGACCTCCTGGAGGAGCACAAACATGAGATTGAGCGGATGGCCCGTGCTGACCGCTTCCTCTACGAAATGAGCAGGTGGGGCCAGCAGGGTCCTGCCGAGGGGAATGGAGAGCAGGGAGGTGGCGGGCTCCAGAGGAGGACGGGGCTGGGGCTGGGGTGGGGGTGGTGTGGGCTGCCCTGCAACGCAGCTCGCCCTCTCTGCAGGATTGACCACTACCAGCAGCGCCTGCAGGCCCTCTTCTTCAAGAAGAAGTTCCAGGAGCGGCTGGCTGAGGCCAAGCCCAAAGTGGAAGGTAGGACTGAGGGGCAGGAGGAGGCCTGGAGTGGAGCAGCATCTGGGAGAGCCAGGGTGGAGGGAGTCCACTGAGATGCCGAGGGAGACGCCTTCCTTATTCTCCAGCCCAAAGGAAAACAACATCAAGGATGCAATTTAAAAGCACACCTGTCGGTCTGGCACCGCGGCTCAATTGGCTAATCCTCCGCCTGCAGCGCCAGCACCCCAGGTTCTAGTCCCGGTTGCTCCTCTTCCAGTCCAGCTCTCTGCTGTGGCCTGGAAGGCAGTGGAGGATAGCCCTAGTACTTAGGCCCTGTACTCGCATGGGAGACCAGGAGGAAGCTCCTGACTCCTGGCTTCAGATTGGCACAGTGCGCCGGCTGTGGTGGCCATTTGGGGGGTGAACCAACGGAAGGAAGACCTTTCTCTCTGTCTGTCTCTCTCTCTCACTGTCTAACTCTGCCTGTCAAATAAATAAATAAATAAATAAATAAAGCACACCTGTCATGAGCGTCTGCCCTTGTGTGTAGTAGCACAAGTGCCTGCCTCTTGTCAATGCTCCCTAGGATTCAGCATTCAGACTCTCCCAGGTGGAGCTCACATTGATACCTGCACAGGACAGGAGCCCTGGGAGGCTGATAACAGCTAGCACCTGGAACAGTGGCTGGAACTTCTTCACTCCCCAAGTCTTACCTCCTGCAGAGTACTAATTGCGTAGGATGCCTCCAGGCACATTACTTAAAGTATGAGCTGGTCAGAAAGTAGGACATTGCACTTGGTGAGCCCCAGAGGCATCTGGTTTTTGGAGCTAGAGAAAGCCCCTCCAACACAGTGAGGGATTCATATTCCAATGAGAACCATGTGCCCACCCAGGATGTGCATGGTCTCATCCACTGCTCAGAGCAATCCCATGAGTGAGTGCTGCTGTGAACCTCTGTGTGCCTGTTTTCTCATCTCTATGCCAGTTGCTATGTCACACTACCGGTGGGTAAGCAAGTCAGAAAGCTGTTCTTCAAAGCCCATGCCTTCACTTGGGCTGCTGGTGGGGAGGGCCAGGCAGCTGTCAGCCCACAGGTCAGACGTGCACCAGGGCAGGCAGAAGTGGGAAGGGGCCATGAGGCTCCTCTGTGGAGAGGACAACCATGCCCCCCTCCCTCCTCTCTAGAGGACGGGGTCATCAGAGTGGAGAAAGAGCGCCTGTGTTGCAGGTGCCACGGGTGACCGCCGGCGCCAAGCAGAGCGCAGCTCCCCGCTGCAGGACCAGTCTGCATCCCCTGAGCCACGCGGTCCGAGCAAAGCCCATCCTGCATCCTCTGTGTACCCTGGAGTTTGCAGAGCTCAGGGCAGATATTTCCTGTAATGCGGCCTCTCCCCCACCTCACACCACATGTACGTGCACGCACACGCACACCCTACAGCGAGGAACCTGCAGGCTGTGATCGCAGATAGCCGGTGCGGGGGGCGGCGGGGGGAAGGAAGGAGACAGCAGGAGTCTCCGTCTGTCGGGTCTGGCCCTGTCGCCTCCCCTTGGTGCTGCGTGAATCCTTATCTTCATCAGGACTTTCTTGCATCCTGCTGCAGACTGCCTTTGGGGCCTGAGGCACAGATAAGGCATGTGCTCAACTGTGTGTGTGTGTGTCTTGAGTCAGTGGAGCAACTGTGGGCAACTGCTGTTTGCAGCTATGGGGCCAGAGTAGCTTAGCCACCGGGGAGGTTTCATTCTGGACAGCTTCCTGCATGCAGAAGCGCACTGCTAGGCTCGCCCTAAGACTCACTGCACACTCAGGAACGAGGCTCCCTTTAAGGTCAAGCTAAGACCGCAACACGTGTGTGGAGCAGCAAACCTGCTAGGGATGGCTGCCCCCATAGCCCTGGTCTGTGACGATTGCCCTGCTGTGGTTGAACAGTCTAGGATGCTGTTCGCTTCAGGAGCTGGGTAGGGAAGAGGAACCTGAGGTTGCGTATTATAGAATCAGATAAGTATGCTTACGTGGGGCGGAGACAGGAGGATTGTTCTGGAGCTGGAGTTGGTAGTCCTTCTTCCAGTCCTGAAAGACCTAAGGTTTAGCCTATCCCAGCTGGCAAGTGAGCTACAGTGACACCCACCCTCCCATCCCCTAGCAAGCAGGGGCTCTGGGTCAAGTCACCAAAAATCAGTTCAGCAAATTTGACAGATTTACCAATTCTATGAATATATTCATGAGCATATTCTTGAATATATATATATATTCATTGCTGAATATACCAAATTTACCAATTCTTATTGTGAATACACTGAATATAGTCAAGATGACTATGGTTGCAAATGTAATATTCATATGAATATAGTCATGATTATATTATCCTTGTGAATAGGTCTAAAATGTCAGGATTACACATGGAAGTTTTCCCATTTACACCGATTTCCTTTGAACGCTTGTCATTTTCTGTTTTGCCAACATTTTAGCATTTTCAGGTGAATTCCTTTGCAAATTTTTCAAATAGCAAATCAACCCTAGAAAAGTCACCCACATGAGACGTGGATTGAGTTCTAAGCTCCCAGCTTAAATCCTGGCAGGGGGCCACTGTGGACATTTGAGGAGTGGGCATGTGAATGGGAGTACCTTCTCTTTGCCTCTCAAATAAATAAATGCAATTTGATAAAGAAGAAACAAAACTGGGAACGCCCAGATACTCAGTAGCAGTATTGCTGTTTTTAGATCATAGAGCACACTTGTGTTCAACATCTCAGTAGCCACTGACAAGCTGTATTTAATTTCTCATGTTCACGGTTCCTTTGTCTTCAGTCTCCTGTTTTTGCCTGCCACTCCCGTGTTCTGCAAACTTTTAGTCAAGTGGTCTTCACGGTCAGCACGTTAAGGAACGTTAGGTTTGATGTGAGCCAAAGATCATAGAATGATCTGATCATCTTATCACCACTTTAGTCTAAAAGCATATTCCACAACCAGTAGAGTTGTGTAGAGTTCATATTCCACCTCTACACAGTCACCATAAAGACCTAATGGCTGAGGAAGGGCCAGATACACACATCAGAAGGAAATACTGAACTTTTGGTTACTATTAGCCCTTGTATTTCTAGCAAATACATCATGAAAGGTATTGGAAAGAAATGGTTAAAATCTAATATTGGAAAAATGTAAAAACAATATTCAGTAAGATGACAAGTAATTTATTTCATCAAATCTAAGATAGCATCAACTATGAAGCACAGTATTTTAATTGATCCCATGTGAAAATTTAATGGATAGATTTTCTTTCTTTCCAGAAAATCAATAAAACATAGCATTTCAAAACAGGCAGAAGTGATCCCATAGTGTGTATAATGTAGAAATTAAAATTGTAAATGCTAGTTTTACTATTTTAAAAAGGTCTATTTATTTATTTGAAAGTCAGAGAGAGAGAGAGAGAGGCAGAGACAGAAAGGTCTTCCACCCACTGGTTCACTACCCAAATGGCCAGGACTGGACCAGGCAGGAGCCAGGAGCTTCTTCTGGGTCTCCCATGTGGGTGCAGGTGCCCAAGGACTTGGGCCATCTTCCACTGATTTCCCAGGCCATTAGTAGGGAGCTGGATCAGCACTGGAGCAGCTGGGACTTGAACTGTCGCCCATATGAGATGCCGGTGCTGCAGGCGGAGGCTTAACCCAGTATGCCACGTGCCAGCCCCAAGGTTTACTTTTTATTTATTTTCATATTTTATTCAAAAAACAGACAGAGGCCTTCCATTCACTGGGTCACTCCTCAAATGCCTGCAACAGCTGGGGCTGGGCCAGTTGGAAGCCAGCAGCCCAGAACTCACCCAGATCTCCCACGTGGGTGGCAGGGACCCAAGTACTTGAGTTGTCAGCTGCTGCCTGCCAGGGTGCACATCAGGAATCTGGGATTCAAGTCCAGGTGCTCATATCAATGCACATGTCCCAGGCAGCATCTTATCTGTTGGGCCAATGTCCACCCCACATACTGGTTTTAGAAACATGAAAATGGAGCCGGCGCCGTGGCTCAATAGGCTAATCCTCCACCTTGCGGCGCCGGCACACCGGGTTCTAGTCCCGGTCGGGGCGCCGGATTCTGTCCCGGTTGCCCCTCTTCCAGGCCAGCTCTCTGCTATGGCCAGGGAATGCAGTGGAGGATGGCCCAGGTGCTTGGGCCCTGCACCCCATGGGAGACCAGGAAAAGCACCTGGATCCTGGCTCCTGCCATCGGATCAGCGCGGTGCGCCGGCTGCAGCGGCGGCCATTGGAGGGTGAACCAACGGCAAAGGAAGAGCTTTCTCTCTGTCTCTCTCTCACTGTCCACTCTGCCTGTCAAAAAAAAAAAAAAAAAAAAAAAAAAAAAAAAAAAAAAAGACTTGCAGTATATGTTCCTTGTCTGCATATATAAACATTTTGAGAGAGAGATTCCCACATTTGTGTTCTCAGCAGAGCCAGTGGGTTCTGAGAGTGGCTGTCTGGTAGATGGGGTCGGGTGGATGTGGGGGTGCAGTGTGCACGGGATTTCTGAGGGTGGGAGTAGTCGCCATCTTCCCGGGGTGCCAGGGGCCCAGCTGCCCTGGCTGAGCCTGGGTGGGGCCCTGACCTGTCCCCTCCCCTTGCAGCCATCCTGCTGGCCTCTCGGGAACTGACCCGCAGCAAGCGTCTGAAGCAGATGTTGGAGGTCGTCCTGGCCATTGGCAACTTCATGAACAAGGGCCAGCGCGGGGGCGCCTATGGGTTCCGGGTGGCCAGCCTCAACAAGATCGCTGACACCAAGTCCAGCATCGACAGGTGGGGACCCACTCCCCTGCACCCCAAGACCCTTCACTTCCTTTTCAAAACAACCTCCCTCATTCCCTGCACAGAAACATCTCCCTGCTGCATTACCTGATCATGATCCTGGAGAAGCACTTCCCTGACATCCTGAACATGCCTTCGGAGCTGCAACATCTCCCCGAAGCCGCCAAAGTCAAGTGAGGGCACCCCCTCCCCCACCCGCCCTCTGCCTGTGACTACTATGTACACTCAGCCGAATTTCCTGCTTCAGGCCCTGTGCTGGGAGGGCTAGGAATGGCCCGGATCTCAGAGTCTGCTTCTGGGAGCACCAGAGACCGTCTGCTCTAGAGTCCTTATTGTAGAGATGCTTCCAAAAAGCACTAGTAGAGCAGTTGGGGATGTTACTAACTCTGTTACTGCCGTGGAAAGTGGCCCACTAGAAGAGTCAGGAAGCTGGCTCGGGTTGTTCCATACCAGGGGCGAGGAGCTGTGCATCTCCTGTCACTCATTAGCTGAGGGGCTCTGGGGCATGGGGGCAAAGTCTCACATACAGAGAGGCGGCTCAGGCTCAGAGAAAAAGTGCTCAGCCGGTTTGAAGAACCGGAGTCATGCACTCGAATGGGTGGTCCAAGAAACCATGGGTGGGAGTCCAACAGCATCTACTGCAGTCAGACCTGAACACCAAGGCAGGTAGAAGCCATCTCTGGTAGAACCAGAAACATAGTGGTGTGTAATGCTTCTGACAGGTACGTAATGCCTGCTGCACACAAGGTGCTGTAGGAGGTTAAGACCTTGTATGCATTTCCTGGTGCTTACAAAAGTGGATACGGTCATGGGTTAGGTGGGGTGGTGGGAACATCATGGAGTGGACTCTTGCAGGAGGTTGCTGCCGGGGACATAGCACACTGAGTCACAGTCGACTTCTGTATGGTTTTAAGTAGAAATAACAAAAAGGTAGTATAATAAGTACACAAGCCAGTAACATAACGGTGTGTTTTCAGTGCTCTGTACTTTAGGCAATGCTCTTACACAAGACACAGCACAGTAGGTTGCCTGTATCAGCATCTTCTCCCCACACTCCACATAAGCGATGCATCATGGGACAGTGACAGGATGGCCTCTCCACGGAAGTTTTTCGAGTCCATAATAATCTGGCAGGACTGCCATTGTATGTACGGTCTGCCCTTGACCATAACGTGACATGGTATGTGACTTGTGAACATAAGCTGGAGGCCACGTAAGCTAGGGTCACCTGCCACTGGCCAGGTCCACCGACTCTGAGCCATTCCCTCAACCAGCCTGGGTCTCCAGGTGTAGAGCTGATGCCCCTCCTCCCCTCCCTGTGTCTCCTGCAGCCTGGCAGAGCTGGAGAAGGAGGTGGGCAACCTGAAGAGGGGGCTGAGAGCAGTGGAGGTGGTGAGTATGGCCCCTGTACCTGCCTGGGTGGAGGGGATGCAGGCGGAGGAGGAGTGGTGGCTTGTGCCGTCTGTGCCAGCTGCTCCCTGGTGCCAGAGCTGATGGTGGACCCCAGGGCACAGAAACCTGTCTGATGCAGTTATGTGATTCCAAGCTCCTGGCTGGGGTGAAAGCCAGGACAGTGACTAGATTATCTGGGCATCTCAGGCTGTTTCTGTGCCATTGTCCAACATTATGTCCATTTGGCTTGTAGGGTGGGATGAACCATTAATCGGTGTGGTTAAGTTTGATCCTCATGGTTCCCATCCCTGGGAAGCTGGCTCAGGGCAGGCAGTATGATGCTGTGGATTCGTTCTGAGAGGAGGAACGTGGTGGGGATAAGAGGCGTGGAGTCACCACACAGACCCCGGGAGCTGGTGAAAGCAGGCCAGAGGCAAGCAGCCCGCAGACTCATTTATTTCAGTTGGTACAGCAGCTTATAGTCAAGGCAGCCAATCCAGTCAAGGGGCGGTCTATGACCTAACCAATAGCAGGCTCCGTTGTCAGTGGCCATCTTGGCATGACCTTCTCATTCCACCACAGCAGTGCACAGTGTGGCTGTGGGCACTGCTGTCCCTAGAAGGTCCTTGTGCACTTGGGCTGCCACAACATGACAGTCTAAACTGGGGGGCTTGTAAGCAGGGGACGGTCCCTTCTCAGCACTGGATGCTGGCGTGTCCAGGAGCAATTTGCTTTCTCAGACAGTGAGTGCATTTGTACCATGTTCCCGTGCAGTCGAAGGGATGAGCAAGCTCCCTTGTGTCCCTCTTGTACGGCACCTGTTTCATTCATGAAAACTTGGTTCTCGTGACCTAATTGCTTCCTTACACCATGGATTTGGGGGTGAGGATCTCAACATGGGGATCTTGGCAGGGCACACATTTAAAGCCACACTGCCAGGTCTCTCGTCCCCACCCTCCCTGCTCTGGCCACTTCTTAGCTAATACTGTCTCTGGCCCTGGATGAGGCTGGCCTGGTATCAGCATGTCCTTGATCCACTGCAGTCCACAGCTAGGAACTAAAGACCCTTTTCGTCTTCACCATGGGGGAGCGGGGAGAGAGAAAGGGCAGGGGAGAAAGGACTTAGCAAGTTTAGGTGAAGTAGGAGAAAGAAGCTCTTGTTGCCACTAAGAGGGAGAAAAGCAGGGATCTGCAGATGTGTCACTGTGCAGGCCTGGAAGGGCTCCTCCAGGTCTGGGCTGTGAGCCAGCAGCCCCAGGGGCCTTTGCCCAGCAGGTGAATCACTGGGGGTCTTGTTTAAAGGCTGACTCAGATGCAGTGGGCCTGCGTGGGGGCCAAGTAGTCTGTATTGCCGAAAATTGCCTAGTTGGCCTCCGGCTGGAGGCTCAGCTGTCTGTCCATCCATCTGTCCTTGGCAGGAGCTAGACTACCAGAAGCGCCAGGTGCGGGAGCCCAGTGACAAGTTTGTCCCTGTCATGAGCGACTTCATCACGGTGTCCAGCTTCAGCTTCTCCGAGCTGGAGGAGCAGCTCAATGAGGCCAGGAACAAGGTAAGGGCACCCCAAGCCCCTCCCGGCTGCCCCCTCCACTTCCCCCCAACCCTCACTGCACTGCGGCCCAGCTTCTTCACCCGGGGCCACTGAGCTTTGAGGAAAACCTGTGTCTTTCCCCTACAGGCATTGACAATCACACTCTGCAAAGGCCATGGGCCTTTGAGCGGGCACCATGCTAAGTGTTTTAGTGATTTGCCCCATCATCTCTTCGGTTTGCCCAACATACAAAATGCCCTCTGATAGAGGTGTACACTGAGAAACAGGTGAAGCGGCTGCCTAGCTGTGAGTGATAGGATTCGGTTAGAAACCCGGCTCCCCACCCACCTGTGTTCATGTTCACGCCAATGTGCACATGGATCCCGTGAGGGAAGGGCAAGCAGGGGCCTGGGCTGGAACCTGACAAGTTCCCAGGAGGTGCACAGGTGGCTGGTCCAAGGGGCTCACTTTGAGTGGTGGGTCTTTCCTGGAGGATAATGAGTGGGTTGGTTTAGAGAAGGTGGTTTCCAATACAATCACAACAGTGACTGGCACTTGTAATACTAGAAGTAATTCTATTACTCTCCCCATTGTACAGGTGGGGTAGTGGAGGCACAGCACGGCTAAATAACTAACCCAGTCACCAGCTGACCTCGGAGGTCCTTTGGGATTCTGCTCAGACACTTCTTGCCCATAGGAAGGGCTTCCCAACATCTCTACCTCCTGATCCCAGGCCTACACCATTAGGGACCAGCGGTGTCTCTCTAGCAGGCTGTCAGCTGTTCAACCCCGCACCCCAGCAGTCCTACACTTGGCCAGCTCACTTCAGGGTGAGGCCATCAAGCTCTGGGGTGACGGTCACCAATCTTGTTCCCCTCCCCTGACAGTTCGCCCAGGCCCTGATGCACTTTGGGGAGCAGGACAGCAAGATGCAGCCGGACGAATTCTTTGGCATCTTCGACACCTTCCTGCAGGCCTTCTCGGAGGCTCGGCAGGACCTGGAGGCCATGAGGAAGAGGAAGGAGGAGGAGGAACGCCGGGCACGCATGGAAGCCATGGTGAGAGGGCTGGGCCAGAGGGAGGACGAGGGGAGGGTGTGTGGGGCAGGCAGGGAGCAAGGCACGTGGTGGGAGCCACTGCCAGCCTGGCAAAGACAGCAGGTGCAGGGGGCAAGTAAGAGCATCCCAGTGGTTTACTGTGGCCATGGCTGGGAGGGCACGGGGTGGTTAGAGGACCATGGGTGGTTCGCCCTGTCCCGGCCCATGTTCCCATGAGGGTCTCAGCCTGCCACCCTCCTGCCCCGCAGCTGAAGGAACAGAGGGAGCGCGAACGATGGCAGCGGCAGCGCAAGGTGCTGGCGGGCGGCGCGTTGGAGGAGGGCGGCGAGTTTGATGACCTGGTGTCGGCACTGCGTTCCGGGGAGGTTTTCGACAAGGACTTGTGCAAGCTCAAGCGTAGCCGCAAGCGATCCGGGAGCCAGGCCCCAGACGTCACCCGCGAGCGGGCAATAAACAGGCTGAAGTATTGACCTGCGGACTGGGGGCCCTGGAGACCCCGAGACAGGGACAAGCCGGAGGTGCTGGGTGCGGGAGGCGGTGCGGCTTTGGTAGTTTGGTGCTGGTGGGTTCAGAGCCCTGGGCTGGGCCCTGGGCTGTAGGGGGCTGGACCAGGTATTTCCCTCCACTCACCTTAAGGAGCTCCTTCCGCCTCCCTTGCACGTTCTTTCTGGATCCGGGTCCCTCTTGGAGGCTGCCTGGCACGCCCCAGGCAGGCCCTCCCCCCATTCCCTCCCACGGGCAGCCTCATGTGGACACAGAAACGTTCCAGAGCTCAACGAGAGAGGCTCCCGTGCAGTGGGGAGTGTGGGTGGGTTGAAGGAATCCAGACGCTGCTGAGAGAAGGCGCCGTGGAGCATGTGGCTGCAGTTCCAATCCTCTTGGACGGACAGGAAGGAGGCACTGTGCGTTCTAATCAGCTCTGGTGTGTTCCAGGAAACGAGTGCTGGGATTGTGCTACAGGGACCAAAGCCTTCGGGCAGAGCAGCAATGTCTGTCTCCTACAGCACAAACCCGCTGGCTTCCCTCACGTGTTTTTAAGTCTCTCTGCCTCCCTTCTACCCCGCCCTCCCCTGGCATCCTGTCTACTAATCCACAGTCCAGAGACCTCACGTTTGTGTCCCTGGCTCACTGCCAGGTCCTTGATGGGCTGGGGGAGGGCGGGAGTGGTCCAGGAAAGGTCCCCAGTCCTTACCACACCTGTGCCTTGGGCACAGAGATCCTGCAACAGATGTGCCCCCACCCCACCAGTACCACCTGATCAGTATTATCAGGAGAGATGACCGTGGCCTCCTGTGTTGTCCAGGAGTTCCTTGCAGCCCTTTGCCAAGGGCAACACCTGACAGCCCCAGCTCTACCAAAGAGCTCCTTGGTCTACTTAGTGTTAATCACTCAGACCCCTTCTCTTCCTCTGACCTCTGTGGCTGGGCAGAAGCCACGATGGCCTCCCAGTCTTTCCAGCCTGCCTGTGCACGCCCGGTGTAAGGGTGGCCTTGCCCCGAGGCGTTCAGCTCAGGGGCAGGGGAAGAGGAGTAGGCAGAAGCAGCCGTAGCTGCAGTGCCTGAAGGAGCCCCAAGGGGCCCATTCCGAGTGTCCCTTCCACACCTACTTCCACTGGGGCAGGTGGGACAGCTGTCTTGTATCTCCAGCACTTTGCCTCCTTCCAAGAGGGAAGCGTGTGAGGTCAGTTCACCAGGCTCTTGTTCTGGGTTCACCGAGCATCTTCGGGAGACCAGCCCCTCCCCCCTCCTGCTCTTTCCTTGTCTCGCACCTTCTGATCTAATCCCCCAGCACTGCCCAAGGACAGCCTGCTGGGCGGGGCCCGCTCTTCAGCAGTAGCTGCAGAGGAACAAGCCCAGAGCTGTGAGCCCAGAACGTGTGTTGGTTCGAGGGAGCGGCACGTGTGTTCTGGTGGGAGGCGTCCTAGCAAGTGCGAGCCCGGCTGGTGCAAGTGTGACGGGGCCGCCCTGGAACCCAGAAGAGGGCGAGGTGAAGGGTGAAGACTCCTAGGAGGGGCTGTGGAGCACTTCAGGGTCTCCATCTGCACAGCCACGAGCCCACACTGCAGGAAGCAGGCCCTGGGACGACGGGGCGTCCCTGCTCCAGCTGACCCGGCTGAGGTCGGCCTCGCCCGCAGCCGGCAGGGAAGGCTCCGCTTCTGCCCGACGAGCAGGTCTGGATGTTGGCACTGGATAGGCACGAAGGAAGACAAGGGCTACGGAAGCATTCGATCCTCAGAAGAGCAGAGTTTGGTTTCGCTGTTTACAGAGGGACGCACATAGTCCCGGAGCCCAGCCTCCTCACCCCGCAAGATTTCTTCTTCTCTATTTATTAATTTTTGGAGCTGGCCAGCGGCTCTGGTACTAGAAACTGTCGTGGCCAGGTCGCCATTAGTGCCTTAGACCACAGGTCGTGGTCAGCTCAGCAAGAAGGGGGCTGGTGCCCGCGAGGCGGCCGAGCTGGTCATTTTTAGGTGAAATGTTAACCCTGGGTCTTCTATTCCCCAGCTGTCTAATTTTGTGTGCAGTGGAAAATTCATAGTCAACCTCAAACAAGCTGTGGCCTCAGCAGCAGCAGCAGCTCTTGCTCCTCCCCTGGGAGGGAACGGCAGTGGGAGGAGGACTTTCTGCAGGCAGAGGGGCAGGGGCTGGTCCAGGCTCTCCCCACGCCCGTTCCACTTCACCAGCTGTGCCACCTCCACCAGGGAGGCCTCCTGCTCTCACTGGCGACCAGTGAGGCTTGTGTACAAAATCCGCCATGTCCTTCTTACCTGCACCTTTTTAATAAGAATATATTGTCATACTAAAAAAAATATTAAATCCATACCATCCCCAGTCTGCCTTGAAACGTGTGCTTCTTCCCACGTGGGTTCTCGCGGTAGGCACGGCCCATATACCCCAGAGCCCGCCTGTCTATGAGAACCGCTGGCTTACAGTTGCAGGAACCTTGCAAGCCATGGGCCGTTAGATTTGGTAGTGTGCCACCGGGAATATTCCCAGCACAGAAGTTGTTTTCCAGAGAGCCAGCTTAACTTGTGCCAGCACCCCTTGGCACAGGGCCCCACAGAGGAGACCAGAAGCAGGCAAGCCTGGTGTTGGAGGACGTGAGAAGCAGGGACCTATAAGTGCATGAAAAGCTGGGTTGCAAGCACCATGCTGGGCTGCCCCTGGGGTACCTGCAAGGTCTCCTGCTACACTCATGCAGGAAAGGCGGCCCCCTCCGCTTCTCCCCCGGGCAGTGGGGCCCTCCACACAGACACAGCCCTCATTCTTGCGTCTCCAAAGTTGGCATCGTGGCTTTATTTGTGCGCTGTATGCGTGAAGGCATCTTCAACTCCCTTCTGTCCCTGATGTGTTCTGGAATGAAGAGTTGTGGGTAGAACGGCAGTGAGCAGGGCCAGGCGTGAGCTGTGACGGCGGCCCTCGCGTGTGCAGCCTGTTCGGCAGGAGTGGGGACGAGGAACAGGGCGAAGTTCGGCTGGAAGGCTTCAGGTCTGATGGGGCGTGGGGCACAGGGGGGCTGTGGCTTCCTGCCGGGGAGAAGTGTGCCAGCAGAGTGGGTTCCCTCTGCTTAGTGAGCCCTTATTCTCCTCCAAGGAAGTAGATGAGAAAACCCAATGTGAGAAGGGGAAGTCGTGGGCTGGCCTGAGACTGGTCGACAGGGACAGTCACAGGTAACCAGGGGACAGTTCCCTGCCCCAGCGTCAGTCTTGGCCGACCCCTCCCGGGATCTGGGTGGCACCTGCTGGGGGCTTCTGTGTAGAAGAAACCTCACAGGTTACTACAGTTGCCCAGAAGAGAGGGACAGGGCTGACCTCAGCTTCCTCCTGGTGAGAGTCCACAGTGACCAGGCCGAAGGAAGCTGATGTCTTTCCCTGGGCTCAAGCCGCATCCCATTTCTGGCCCTGGCTGGGCCCATGGGCGAGACGGGGCGGCGGCTCTAAGCTCGGTGGAAGTCCCCCCGCTGACCCCCGGTCTTGCTGATGAGCTTGACCTCCCTCACCACGATGTCCCTGCTGACGGCCTTACACATGTCGTACAGGCTGAGGGCGGCCACCGAAGCCGAGGTCAATGCCTCCATCTCCACCCCGGTGGGGCCCCGGGCCCTGCAAGTCGCCTGGATGGCCACGGCATGGCGTGTGCTGTCCAGCTCCAGCTGTACTTGGACGTGGCTCAGGGCCACTTGGTGGCACAGAGGAATCAGCTGGCTGGTCAGCTTGGCCGCCTGAATTCCAGCCAGCTGGGCCACCATGAGGGCATCACCCTTCTTCAGCTGGTTCTGCCGCACAAGCTCGAAGGCCACGGGCCCCAGAAGGACGAGAGCCGAGGCCACAGCCACCCGCTCGGTGTCTGGCTTCCTGCCCACGTCCACCATAGCGGCCCGTCCTTCTGAGTCCACGTGGGTGAGCTGGTCTGAGGCGGGCAGGGATCCAGAGCTAAGGCACTTGGAGTCGGTGTCTGAGTGTACACAGGAGCTGTGGTGTCTCTGAGGGCAGCCAGACCCCCACCACTGCTGGGCCACTGCAGCGGCCTGGGGGACTCGGCTTCCTTTCCACAAAGCCGCCGTCGGGTTGGAGAAGCTCATTCTGGGTCTCAGACCCTGAACACGAAGGGGGGCCCAGGAGAAGACGCTTGGACTGGCTGGTGGGGAACCCTGGAGCGTCAGCAGCAGCAAGTCTGCAAGGCAAGGGGGAGAAGGGACATGTGAGGCCCTGCCCTGCCCCCAGCCTTCGCATCCCTGTGAGTTCTCTTCCCATGGGGGAATGAGGATGGAGGACAAGCACAGCGAGAAGAAACCAAATAGGAGACATGCAAACAGAAGGCGCCTATTGTGTGCAGGATTCAGGGCTCCCCCAACCCCCACTCACGACCACTTCCTATGTCCTGGTGCACCCAGGAATCACCTGACATCTGAAGGCTGGAGCGAATGACCTCTCAAGGTCCCCTTGTTTTCTTAGAGGAAAGTGCCCTAAATTCCCAGTGACACATACGTTCGTCTTCACAAGCTCCAAGCATTCACAGCCATGGGCTCCCTAGCTTACAGGCGATGCACTAGGGAAATGCTTCATCTACGTAAATGATGTCTCGAGTCCCCTGGGCACAGTCAGACAGCACACACACGGCTCCAACAGTCCAGAGGTCCTGGGGACTGGGCAGGTGTTGGTCACTCCACAGGCGGTCCAGGGACCAGTGGTGCCAGCACCATTTGGGGACCCATTAGAGAAGGAGAATCCCACCCTGGACCTCCAGAGCGGAACCTGGAACAATGGGCCTGAGCCACTCGTATGCACACGGACGTCCCAGAGGCCCTGCTCTGCTTAAATCTTGGATTTTACAGAAACCACATTAGTAAGGAAATACCAGAGCTTTCCATCCTCCTCTAACCCCAGCCTCACCAGCATCCCTTCTCAGGGGACTGTCGGGGCATCCCCAAGTCCTTGCCTCGGAGGTGTGTCAACACGGGGCAAGGTCCAGCAAGAGGACTTAGAGGCGGGAGAAGGAAGACGGTTGCTTTCTTACCACGGTGAGCTGCTTTCCTTCCTGGGTGGCTGGCACACAATGGTGGCCCTTGGGCTCTCTGGCCCACCCCAGCCTGCTTTTCTCTGCACAACGGGCTCACGCTGCTCCAGCCTCCTCTCCCCTAGCTGGACAATGCAGAGGCCCGGATCCAGGCTGGGCCTGGCAGGGGCCCTAGGGTGGAGTGCCACAGTTGGCTTTATAAGAAAGATGTTTCTGTTGGCAGCGTCCTACCTGCCACGGGACAGTCTCACGCATGCACAAGCCCCAGCGCAAGGGAGTCAGAATGGTGAGGTCCTGGCCCTCTCCACCCTAGCCAGGGCCACAGTCTGTGCTGGCTGCTCCCAGCCCAGACCGGCATGGATGCTCAGTAACACACTTAACAGGCTCCTGTCCAGCTCCACGTGCATGGGCCAGACCCTTCTGCAGAGGGGTCGGGACGCCTGATGCTATCCAAGCTGGGAGAGGCCGGAGTGGAGAGCAGAGGGTCCGCCTTAGCCAGGATCCCCATTCTCAGGGAACGGCCAACTTAGCAACCACGAAACTCGGGGGACCCCCAACCTGCTCTCTGGTGAGACAGAATGGCCGTTTCTGAGGCAAGGATGTGGAAGGGCAGCCGCAAGCAGGGGACAAGAACAAACACTAAGGATTTAAAGGAGGCGGAAACAGAGGGAGGAGGAACAGAAGCCAGATGAGGATGGAACGGGGGAGCCGGGGGTGGCTGAGGGCAGGGGCCCGCCCCCACGGGACCCCCAGTGACAAGGGCGCATGGTTACGTACTGATGGGTCACCCACCGATGAGGATCATGGGCCGGTTCTTCATCTGGGAAATATTGAACATGCCTGGGGTGAGGGAAAGAGGGGCAGGGGAGAGGAGGAGGGCAGGGAGAAGAGGTCACTGAGACAGGCGGATGGACGCAGGTGGTCTCACAGCCCCTGGGACGTGCACTCAGCTCTATGCACCCTGACACCACCCCATGACAGAATCCAGAGAACAGGCTGGATGCTCGGGGCCCTGTCCTGACAGCAGCGTGTGGGAGGGGACAGCAACAGGGACACCTTCCCCTTTAACCAGCCCGCCTCCCCCAGCCCCTGCAGTCTGTTCACTGCCCCAAACAAGCAGCCACCCCCACTCCCTGAGCCCCAACAGGGTGAGTGAGTGGTGGCAGCAAGGATGACCGTCCCCCCAGCTCCCTCGTAAGAATTGATGGTCCTTGCACCCCAAACTCTGGATCCTTCCTGCTGCCGATGGCCCCTCGCCGCCCGGCCCGGCCTTACCTGCATGCTGCTGCTTCTTCCTGCCCACGGCAGCCCCGATGATGGCCAGCAGCTCCTCCTCGGAGGCCCCCGCCCGCAGGTGGTCCCGTAGCGATACCTCTGAGTTCCCGAAGAGGCAGACCTGCGTGGGGGCGGGGGTGAGGGTCAGCAGGCCTCCCTGGTTCCTGAGCTGTGGCCTCCCAGACTGAGTAGCTCATTCAAGTGGCCCAGTGTCAGCCCGAGGGCCTGGGCCTCCCACAGCAGGACTGCACTTGGGCAAAGACTGGCGGTGAGGGACAAGAGGCATGGGCTAGAAGGGCAAGAAGCAAACCTGGCTTCCCAAGACCTGGTTCTAGTTCCCCCAGGGAACTTTACAGAAGTCCATGGCAACAGAAATGCAGATGGGAGTCTCTGCTGGGAAGGTGGGTGGGGCAGCTTGGCTAGCACCACAAGAATGGCCCCAGGTCCAGCTGGAACTGAGATCCAGGGACCCCAGACCTGGCCTACATATCATTTTTTTTTTTTTTGACAGGCAGAGTGGACAGTGAGAGAGAGAGACAGAGAGAAAGGTCTTCCTTTGCCGTTGGTTCACCCTCCAATGGCCACTGTGGCCGGCGCACTGCGCTGATCCGAAGCCAGGAGCCAGGTGCTTCTCCTGGTCTCCCATGGGGTGCAGGGCCCAAGCACTTGGGCCATCCTCCACTGCATTCCCTGGCCACAGCAGAGAGCTGGCCTGGAAGAGGGGCAACCGGGACAGAATCCGGCGCCCCGACCAGGACTAGAACCCGGTGTGCCGGCGCCGCAGGTGGAGGATTAGCCTATTGAGCCGCGGCGCCGGCCCCTACATATCCTGTCTCCCTTGGGTTCCTTCCTGGTCCCTCTGCCTGCCCCTATGAAAGGCTGGGTGCTATGGAGCTCAGGGGTGCAGCACCGTGGGCAGTGAGGACACACAGGACATCTGAGAAAGCCCCCAGGGCAGAGATGCACAATGACAGGTGCGACAGAAGGTGTAGCTACTTCACTGTTGGCTCTTCCGCCTCGCTGCCCCACCAGGCCCAGCA